GCCAGTCTTGTTGTTCCCCCTGGGTCAACGACAATTACTTTAAATAATGGATCTATTCGTTTCTAATGAATTCCTTTATTAACCAAATCACACAATTTACAAAGCATAAGTCATGCATTAGCCTTTGCTAAGCCGACGTATTTGTACGCTTTGAAGGACAGCTTGTCGCCGTTGAGCATCTTAAATCTCAAATGCAAGCTTCTTCCGACACTTTAGTTGCATTCTTGTGACACCTACGGGGCATGAAAAGTTCCCTTTCTCTCTTGCGGCTTTGAACAGGGTTTGGCTTTAAACCGTGGATGAAACAGTGTTTCGCGTACTGTAAACGATGTAATCGAAATAGAGTGCTTGGTCAAACAATTCAACGAAAGCTCTTTTGTTCAAACTGAGGACAGTTTAGAGCTTAAACAAAAGTAAACTTTGGGCCTGCATTTTACAGTTTCCGTGTAAATGCCGCGAATCGCATGTCTTTAAAAAGTCGGTGAACTACTTTAGGAGTCTCGGCTGTTGGAACATTTGCGTGCGTTTTGGACCACGAGAAATATTCATTAGCTGGAGAATTTTTCATCATCTGAACGTGGAAAAAGCGGTAGAGGACAGATATCAACTTTGAAGGGCACAGACCTCTGACGCATTGCTTTCCTTCATAAAGTCTTTGACAAACTGCTCAGACTACCAGGAGATATTGATTTACAGATACGATGGTATCGACAAAATTAGAGGTACCCACACAAAACATTAACACTCATCTTGTTGACGCATACGTTGCTTTGCTACTACTCATAGTTTTTCTCTCGTTGGTGGGTAATATTGTCGTCCTGACGGCCTTATACACCCAGCAGGCAAACCTAAGAAACAGCATGGACGTTTTCATCGCTAACATAGCTGTGTCGGACATTATTTCGTCATTTTCTGCGACATTTACTCTGAACAATGCTAAGTTACAGTGGAGCAGCGGAGCGGGAACTTGTAAAATGTGCTATTATCTTCTGTTCGTGTCTTATGCAGTTGTCATTTTAACGCTTTGCTTCGCAAGCGTGGATCGTTTTTTTGGAATTTGCCTTCCAACCAAGCGCAGGCAAGTTTTTCTCCTCAAGAAACAAGTGATTTCCATCTGTTTGATATGGATTTTATCCTGTGTACTGTTTGCACCATATATTTACGCTTACGATGTTAAAGAATTCAAACTTCCCAAAGAGAACACAAAAGAACTATGTATGCAAACTTGGTCTTCTGACAGCGAGCAAATATACTTTACTTTAGTTATGTTCTCTCTGTTTTTTCTGTCACCCATCGCATTGTTTGTCTTTGTTTTCTTCAAAGTATTCCAAAAATTACACGAACCAAGAAGTACAGCTTCCGGAGGCAACGCTATTCTTCACAAAAAGAGAAAACGAATGACATTGATGCTTTTATTGATGGTTACTTTGCACTATATTTGTTGGAGTCCCTCCATTATCGCTAACTTAGGTCACATTTTTGGAACTGAGACAACTCCTAGTTATTTTAACCTGTGGCTGGTTTTTGAGTTGCTGCACTTTCTGCGTTGTCTGATTTATCCATCGGTTTACTTTACTATGTACCTAAATGTCCGCGAAAGCCTAAAAGCACTTATTTCTTTCAAGTCGTCATCGAGATCAAATCCCGTTAACAGTACAGCTGCTACTACTCAAGCTAAAGATCTTTCCCTGCCGTCTTCTGTGCCAGTGTCTTCGGCGGCATCTGATCGTTCAGCCTCCTATGTCCCAGATGATGACATGTATACGAGTATGTAAACAAAATCTGAACTCTGGAAACCATGGCGACTGTTTTTACTCATATATCGCTTTATATTTATACGGTGTATATAACCACTTGCCTTTTTGTTATCTCAATAAATACCTGATGTGCACTTTGCGAAATAAAGTTTTTGTTGACAGTACTGTTCAGTACTGTGTTTTGTTTGACCACTGACATGTTGAAGAAAACGCGGGTTTCAACTTCAGTCAAATGTGACAAGTGAAAAATCCAAATGAAACGAAAGTTAAACCGCTTGAGCTAAACCCAGCCTAGGTCCCAGTCGCCCTCGACGATCTCGGATGTGACGTCACCCCAAGCCTGTCGGAAAAATTCGCGCTAGGTTCCAAGCCTCCTCCAGTAACTGGGATAGCGCGAACTGGCTTGGGTACGAGGCTGAGCTAAACCTATTTCGGCATTGTAAATGAGACACAGATTCAGACTATGTTCATACTGTAACGGATAGTTTTTGCGGCGGCACCAAAACCATACCTGATGAGGCTTCTGTTCACATATATAAAAAACGGTGAGTTCGACGCAATTTCTGTAACGGAGCGAAGCTTACCCTACGTTGCAGCCGGCCCACGCGTTATCTAGAGTGTCTGCGACGCATGCTAAGCGATGCTACGCCGCGCCGATCTCTAAAGCAAAGAGTCACATCAGATAGGTGTTCGTGTCGGCATGGTATTTTATGAACATGGCTTTAGTCTTGTTGGGCCTCTCTTTTAAGGGTCCATTTCCCATTATTCCTCGCACCTAGTTCGTTCCTAGAGTCCGATCGGGGGAAGAGTAGGATAGGACCCTGGGAACGAAGTTGTCCTCGCGCATGCACATCTTAAACGACACAGAGATGGGTGGGTAGAGCGTGGGCATTTTCAAACTCGTTGGAGAACTTGATTCCGTTTTCAGACCCTGCTCATGAACGAAGCAGAATGATTCACTACCTGCAGACATGTGATAGAAAACGCGGCTTTAGAGGACGTCAGTAATAAATGTATTACGAACAGGAAGGTCTGATGTAAACATGGACAGAAACGTGGAACAACAATTCCGTTTTAGTATTTACTTTAGAGCTAAATTCGTTTTTTGTTTTTTGTAATTAAGTTTGCCCAAAAAAAACTTGACTCTGTGGGGTGTTGTGCGGGTGTCGCGTACCTTGCTGAAAACTGGTCACGGTTCTTGGTTATTCGTCATGTCGCTAAATTGGACTTCAATCCACCTCTGAGCTATGAATGTCTGATTTAACCCCCAGCTTCTGCTAAATATTAAAATAATTATACACCTATCCCTAAAGTTCATAACGGGTAATAATTTAAAACCCCCCACCACTCCCCAGATTTGTATCAGAGGACGTGCTATGCGGTTTTCATTCCTAAGAGAGCGTCGATAAAGCTTCCACGCAGGGAACGGTATTTTAAATATTCTTAAGGAAATAAGGACGATTGCATAAACAGTGAAGTTCCAGATATTATTTTAGGGGTAGGTTTTAATATCCTCAATTATGACAAAACTCATTTGATAAAAAGTCTATTTGAGATTCGTTGCTTCTTTAACTTGAATTGCAGTCAGTATCTTTTATGGTGAATATTACCTCTCAGTATAATTGTAGCACGCTTCTGCTCTTAAATTCAATTTTAAAATACTTGAGTTCTTCCTGTCACTTGATGTTTGACTAGCCTACCTAGAAATTTTATTAGCTGCTTAACTAATGAGACAGTAGTCCAACGATTAATGGCATATTAAACTCCAGGGGCACCCAACGAGAATATAGTTCAAACGTAGCATTGTTAAACGTATTTTAGTATTTTAACGGTAGATATAGGCATATTCTTATCCCCTAAAAATTTTTCATCTGTTCGGATTTCCTAGCTGAAAGTCTGGTGATCCGAAAATTATAAGGATCAAAACTTAACTTTTCGAAAATTTCAGCCAGAAAAAAGGCTCCCGAAAATTCTTGGTGACCTTTTTGGGGTAAAAATCCGTTTTTAGATGTTCGAAAATCCCAGGAGAGGCAAGCAAGCAAGAAATTTTACAACAAATTAATGTTCCGAAAATTCTAGATCTCAAATCGTCTTCCGAACAGATATTTTCCGAAAGTATACGTTGGGTGCCCCTGAAACTCAGAGCGTTATACGTTACACTTCTGGCGCCGGTTGTTCAAACGTTTGCTATCCACCAGATAAATCACTATCCAGTGACTATACAGCTCAGTGATCAGTATTAGGGAAACCAACTGTGTTATCAACTGAATGATGCAAGACTTCTGTACCCAGTAAAGAGCGCTGTTCACCATTTAGACAACAGGGGCCCGAGGTTGATTGAAGTTATCTATGCTCGAAACAAAGTGTACAGTTGTCGCAGCGGTATATCTGAGCATTTTAGTGGCCACCTCCTAGACATCGAAACTAAGTGAGTTGGTCTCTATCGCGCTTCAGTCATTTTTCCTTCACTGCTTTCTTCGGTCTTTCATCTGCGGAATAATAATTCCGCACTCCAGACGTACACGCTGTTAACGAGATGTGTTTAAAGGTTGTCGCGTTAAAAAATTACGGTACAAATATCTTATGTTTCCGCCTAAAAGAGTTGTGCCTTAGAAGTAATTCAATGGTATTCTTTGTCATAAAAACGTTTACTCGCCTTTCACCCGTTACAAATAACCTCTGTGCGTCACATTTTGCAACGCCGCTAATTGTACGTTTTGCTGTGTTGGAATGTAAGCTCACTTACCAAAGCCTCAGCTGAATCCACTTACTCTCCTGCACCCAGCAATATACTATGTTTTTAATGCTATTTTCGACACTTCCTAAGCCTGGACAAAAACAAAGTTAAGAGTGGCGCAAGGTGCTGAAGCGAAGACGCTCAAATCTCTTTTATTGGTAACTATTCATGTTTAATAAATGAGATTCAGGAATTCAATAGAAATGGAATATGTATAATATCACTATATTTCCGGTTGACAAAATATCACCTCTTCTCCTAAAGAGCACATCGATCAAAAAGCGGGCAGAGATATCAGCCGTGTTACGACGATAAGAATGTAACACTGTTTAAACCTTCCAACTCGCGAGGAATAGAATCTGTTCATCTTTTAACATGTGATTGCTTTATTCGTTTCCGTTCAAGCCAAAGGTATCCTCAGTGGAAGTCATCATAATGCAAAATTTATAGCAAACATTATTACAATCAACTAAATTTGCCTTCTCAAGATCGAAAGGCGGTTACAAATGTCGGAAAAAAGTCGGACAAAGTCTCGCCTAAAAATTCTACCATCCTGGCGAAGAAATTCATCAGATCCACCCACTGAAGAGAGCAGCGAAGGGGATGAATCTGCTGGCTTCGATTTACTCAAGGTTCCAAAGGTTAGTTGGCGGACGAGACCGGCAGTTTTAAAAAATTGTCACTACATCTGGGTTTTAAGATGACTTATTAATCAGTCAACTTGTGCTGCTGTTGGATACGTTCTACAATAGAACTACCATCAATGTCTTTGAAATGACGGAGTTACAGAGCCGCATTTAAAACAGTGCAGCAGTGACTTAGTTAGAATTAAGATTTATTAATTAGCATAACAAGCTAACTTCATACACATATGAGTGGGTAAGCCAATATTTATTAGTAATGTGTCTTTTCACTCACGGGAAATGTCTTTCCATAAACCCCCTTTCGCCGAAACGAAGAAATGGTTAACGGAAGTTTTTGAACTTTCCAGTACAGCCCTTTTCTGTGCGGAAAAGAGCTCTTTCTGAAACTCAGTGTAACTTTAGACAGTTGGTTCGATTTTAATTAATTGGTCGATTAACATTGAGTCAATCGCTTGAATGTTTAACCCCGCGCTACGATCAAATGACAACCTCAGTCGACATTTACGATACAGACTATAAATACCTTACCACAAGACTGACGAAGGATTCTTGACTGAACGCTTATCAATACTTCCAGGTAGCTTAGCGAAGATAATAAGTTCCTGTGTTTTGTAACTGTCAGGGCTAAGGCCACTCACTAAATGTACACCATAACTACTTAATGCAAATCTGAACTTTAAATTTTAAACATTCGTCTATGAGTACAAAACTGAATCTGTCATTTCTTCGTGGTACTCTAGAAAGCAAACCTTTAAAATCGACGAGGTAATTCGTCCCAGCTTCCTCGTTTTCGTGACTCGCAAGGACTAGAAAATTAACACGGTCATTTTAGTTCAATCAAATACACACTACGGCGCCTTGGTGTAAAAGCAAATAAACGAATGTATTTATCCATGCGTGTAAATGATATATTATTTAAAAGGCTCATTGCTACTGAGCAAACAAGGAGCTGGTTATATGTAATGTGTAAGAAGTTTCAGACAAACCTGATATTTCGTCGCTAATCCTTCGTAAAATCAACAATTCCCATTTAGACATTTTAACTTCTGTCATGAGCTTGAGTGACCGTCTCTGCCCCCCGTAGGGTACGTCATAATTCTTTCCGATTTTTATTTCGTACGACCTGGTTTTAATGACGAAGCAGAGACACTTGGGAAGTTGGGGAACATAAAACCGGTCTCCAGAGAACGAAATTTAACTAACCTCCATCCACAATACCTGAAAGTACATAGGTCTGGTGAAGGGCCATTGAATTGCCCATGAGAGCAAAAAACATATCAACCGCGGAGCCTGGACTCTGATCGTAAGACTTGGCACCGATATTCACTGGCTTGTTCAAAGGGAAATGAAATGGCTTCCTCAGGAATCTTACTCAGGGCCGATTGCGTCCAGACACGGCCTAGTTGATTGTAGTAAGTGTTCTTTAACTACACTAAAAAAACAAATTTTCAAAAGGACCAACCGAGTTGCGACGCTTTGCTATTAAGTTATTAGTGTTGTAATCATATATAGAGTTGGTGGTTTTGTCATGCAGTTTGGCTGGGTTAACAGGATTTTTAAGTATGCTTTATGTTAACACTTTCCTCTAAATAGTTGATAATGCGCTTTCTCTAAGATATCGGTTAACGCGTAGTTCTACATTGAACTACAGTCATTTCAATTTTATTGCATAAAGGTGTTCCGAGAATTCGTACCTACGTGCTTCCAAAAATATGGTAACAAAATACGGGTTAAGATTTTTTACATGTGTGTTTTACATCTGAGCTTGCCAAGAACGTGTTTTCTTTGTGTTATGTTTCATATGAAAGGCCATTTGTAATCGCTTGTCTGTGCATGCTTCTGCAGTATTCGGTGAAATTATCATTCTATTGCGATAACAGGGAATTTATAGTATCAATATTGTAGTTTTAAGTTCAATTAGGTATAAACTATCACCGATAACACAGTAGGTTTTTGCAAAAGCAAATCGGACAGTCTACCAAATGACCAGGAGTTTACACACGATTGTGTCACTTCGATGCAAGTATTTTTAGTTGTAAAAGTCTATCCAGCTCTTGGTGATTTCGCCCATTTTGATAACCCATCATTTTTTATTAATTAGCATAATCATGTCTTTTAATAAAAGTGGAAAATCCCTTTGTTTTTATTTGAAAGCGGGATAACTGACTAGGACAATAGAGTCACTTAAGCAGAAATAGCCGGGGTGTTTGGAGGTCGACGGGCAGTTATTGCTTTACCAAAAACAGTCATTACTTCTACCAAAAGCTATAACTGTCTTTTGTTTGTCTCCTTTAATACTCCTGGGGTTAATTGACTGGTATGTAGAAGGCCTTTATGTTTAGCGCCCTCTTAGGCCCGGTTCAGACGCCGAACTTTTCATGAGCCGAACCTAATTCGAATTAAGGCCGACCCAAATTATTTAGACCGGCTAAAGTGATTCAGACGCCGATCTTAATTCCAGCCGAACTAAATTCAGAAGGCGAAAAATGCGCATTTCGGTCAAACTGCTTACAAAATACGTTGTAAGAATTTCTGCATTTGGTTCGGTACTGAATCAAAGGCGTTCCAAAGTCGATCCGAAGGCGAAATTCCCGGCCGGGCTAGGCGAAAAGAACGGCTGAGCCGTTGCAAATTGAAACAGGCGTTCCTAATTGATTCAGACGCCGAACTTTTCATGCACTTAATTCAATGTATTAGGTTCGGCTCATGAAAAGTACGGCGTCTGAACCGGGCCTTAATCTGCCTAAGAGTTCTTAAAATGCATAGGAGGCGATTGCAAAGGGTTTTACATACAAGCGAAGGTGAAATCAGGGGCACCAAACGGCTGTTTTCTGTAAAACATCTGTTCGGAGAAGCAAAAATTGCCTGGAATTTTCTATCCTTGAAGGAAGGCTAAGAATTTCTAGATGACTGTTCCATTCATTCATTCATTCATTCATTCATTCATCCATCATTCATTCCCTACGATGTTTTTCTGAAGTTTAAGTTTTTGTATTCCACTCCCCGGATTGAGCTATTTTTCACAGAAAAAGGAAACCTAAAATTTTCGGATTCGAAAATGCGATGGAAAGAGGAATCCGAAAAATTCTCACTTTCGTAAAACTTTAAACTGCATCTAAAATTTTCGGGAAAATAATACTGAAGCCCTGGTAATTTCGAAAAAGACTCAAGTTGCCCTAGGATGACCGAACAGATGTAAATTTTATAGCCCGATAAGAATGTATTTCTAAAAACCTAAAAGTACTTTGGATAGCCTAGAGAGTGTTTTCAATGCATTTAGGAGGAAACCGTCGTTGGGCTCTGTGAAACATGCGGCTTTCATGACCTTCGGTTTCACTTCATAGCGCCAGTAGAGTGCCGCGGCTCCGCGAAGTCGCATCTCTTTGTGCCGTCCTAGCAATCTGAACGCCAGGAACAGCCTGTCTACATAGCGCTCAAAGACAACTTTCATGAGAAAAATCCCAAATTTCACTTTGTAGAATTACTGAGAAATGAAACTTCCGATTCAAAGAATTACTACCATTGGAGTTTTATAAGAATGTTGAGCTTCACATCATAATTTAAATTTCATGCTCTTAGATAGCATTGCACATCCTAAAAAAATAATAAGGCTTTTACTTTATAATTTAACTCTGGCATCATGAGTGCTGAAAGGGTTTGAACTTGATTTGTATTCAGTGGGCTTTATGCTCCTACGGTCTAGGTCAGGCATCAATGAGCGATGGCTCTCCCGTAATTGCGGTTCATTGTCTCGATTTGGAAGTTCTAGAACCGATTCTAGATATGAAAGCATTGGTGATCCTATGAAAGTCGATCAGGATTTTGTCAAGACTTTACAGACTGAAAATGAAATAATGTTTAAAGTACATTATAGAAACACTGATCTACAAAATCTTAAAGTGAAAGCTGGTAATATCTTATTTCGCGATCCTTGCGATCGGATGAAAATTCAGCAAAGCGTTCGCGCGCATCAACGACGACGATAAATAGTTTGAGCAGAACGAAAACATGTTACAACGGGGCTGATCGGAACAAATCGAGTACCTGCCATTGGGGGAACCTGCTACGGGGATTGATAGAGCCGATTTCCTTGCACCTGCATGCTGTATCCCAGTCACACTGTGTGTTGTTTATCAGTAAGAATCGACAGGGTTATATGCTTCTGGAATCGATTAATATATTATTTTCGTCTTCCAAATTGTCGCCAACTTTTTCCAGTTTTGTCTTGTTTTTACTCTTGTGGTTATGCCACTCACAGCACAGTTGTGTTTCGTGAAATATAGCCGGCACCCCTGCACGAATTCAACTTTCGTTTTCATTTAATGATCGGTTATTTAAAACTGTTGATGCAAGGCCCTGCAAATCTTTGCCTCAATTCAAAGAGATGCTGAGGACTGTTATTTTGTAAATTTATTACGTAGTTCATTTTTAAGTATCTGCCTTTTCATATTTGGTTATATCATCATATTTAATTTTAGTTTATCAAGACCCCAGTCAGTTGTAATTGATATCAACCCTGCTGAAAGGGCAAATCCTGTATAAGTATAGGTAATAAAAAACCATAAAGCTGTTTACACTGGCAGTACCTTTTCTTGAGTTTCTGGTTGTATAGCAATGAAAGATTCAGTTAAAAGCGATTTTGTTTTCCATCGACTAGGAGGACGTCATTATGGAACGGAGTGAGGTACCGGAGGTGTCCCCAAGCCCTAAAGTCGGCAAGAAAAATCATAAACACAAGGTATTCATTTAAATAACAAATACATTAAAGTGTTGACAAGATAAACGCAACTTTGTCCGTTGTACAACTTCCGGCTTGATCCATCGCCCGCAGTTTTTCTAGCGGACAATGATACAGACATTATACTGAAACAAACCAGGTTCACTGAATAAGCGGTTTTATTGAGAAGAAATGGTTCATTGGACACACAGTCTTCCTTGAAAGCCAATGTGGAGTCACGTTTTCCGTATCATTAATGGCGCTTAAATGTTTGACGAATATTTAGACGAAGGATATCGTTCGTTCTGTTCTAATGATTAAATTTGACTGTTTGACGCGTTTAAAAGCCACTCTAGGTAATGGTTAATCATACGAGTGATTAACAAAATCGGACGACCGCGTTAAATCAAAAGTATGATTAAAATAGAAATAGACTCAAAATTAGGTTTGATTTGTTTGAGTCTTGCGGTGAAATGTTTGAAAAAAGATCACTCAACACCATTCTCTAACAGTATTATGAAGACATAGGATATACGCTGATATCGTATTTGAGTAGCTTTCACAACAACTCTTGTAAAACCTCTAAAACATGGGTGTTAACCCGGCCGTCCATGTATGCGAATCAGTACCTTGCAAAACAGTCGCTTGAAGCGCTGGTGTGAGATTTCACGTCAAAAAAATGTGGGTTGCTTTACACTCTGGCGAATCAGCAACAGGAAGTGAAAAATACTTATCTGGCAAAGTTAAAAACCTCGCGAAGATTCAAGTTTAACCTCCAAATTATACACCTCGCATAGGCAAAGGACCTTTGGCCCTCGCTCCGCGAGGAATTATTTGCTATTGATTTAGTTTCATTTAACTTTTAAGCGCGTTAGTTGTAAATTAAAAATGGGGTCGTCCATATGAGGCGTTTATTTGCATAGTTTAAGTTTAAGTTTAATAATGCTTTATCATCGATACAATAAAAAAATAAAAAGGTGCAGGAAAAGATATCGAAATAGCGGCAGGGGAAACTGAATTCCCATTCTAGGGCTACTCCTCATTCATAAACATGAACTCATTTAAAAAATCTTTGGGGTAATATAATACAAAGATAATGGGAGAAATCTCTTTACAAAATAACATAAGAACTAAAATGATAATGATAATACTATTAACATAAAACAGAATTGATAAAAATGTAATAAGTAGAGGGTATGACTATGATTAATACAACTTGGATCGCAAATATCTCAAAAGAGAGACTTTGAAATTTTTAAGGCTGGATTCACAGATAACATTAGACGGGAGAGAATTCCGATCACTGACGTAACGATTAAAAAAATATATACTTAAAATAATTAGTACGAAAGTAGCTTAAAATGATGTTTCTTATCTCAATTTTCATGCACCAGGAATCTGTCCACCATAAAGATTTAGACCTCAGTCCAAGACTGGAAAAGAAGATCCTGATTGGAAGGCAAAAGAGCAAGGTACAGTCAAGTGTAATACTGTGATGTTCTACGAAAGCTCTTATTGTGCAATATTATGACATGTACGCCTGATACAAAATGCCGAAAGAATAGGCCTTTTTATATTTACAATACCCGCCATCTTTGAACGCGCTTAAGGCCTGATGGGATAAAAAAAACAATGTCACGTGGTTTCTCAGGGGGCAAATAAGTGGTAAAATTTGCCAATGCAAGAAATTGCGATCTAGTTTGCTTATTCTAGACAACAGAAAATGAAGAATATTTTATCTTAAAGACGATAATGTCAAACCGTGGGTGGAAGTGATCATTGTTACTTTACTAGATGTCAGTAGTAGTGACCGTGAATGTCCTGACACAGCAGATAATAGGGCCATTTATACGAGGAAAAATAAGACGCGTCTTACATAAGACAGGTCCTAAATAAGACGCGAACTTTCCGCCAAAACGGCACATTTCGTCTAAATAAGACGCGGCTTAGCTAAGACGCGTCTTATTTTAGAACAGCCCTTAACACCTGTTCTTAGATAAGACGCGTCTTAGCTAAGACGAGAAAAACTTCGTATAAATGACCTTCGCGTCTTACATAAGACGCGAACGCATAGTACGCATGCGTTAATTTTTTCACGTTGGATTGCCGTTGCTAAGGGCAACATTCACATGAAAACGAGTCAAGAACAGAAATAAGACGCGAACCATTTATACGAGCTGTTCTCGTCTCAGATAAGACATGCTCGTATAAATGGTACAGTTCGCGTCTTATTTAAGACGCGTCTTATTTTTCCTCGTATAAATGGCCCTAATGATCACGTAAAACTTTTCGAAACTCAAACTGTGCTTTTTGCATGACTATTAAATCGTCGTCCTGTTATGAGAGAATAAACAAACTCGACCGCGATCACTCGTATTAGCAAATTTTATCACTTGTTTTCCCCCCGAAATACCACGCGACGTTACCTTTATTCCATCAATCCTAAAGCGTGTACAAAGATAGCAGGTATCGTTAATAAGGTCTTTTACTGGCAATAAAAACATACTTGATTTCAGTTGATGTGCAAAACTGCTGTCAGAGGGCTCGATTTGAAGGACTGGAGTGAGATTACGAGAAGTACAATGTCTTATCAAACTGAAATTAGACTAGGCATAATTATTACTGTAGTTTCGTACTATACAACTGCCAGGTGCAGAACTTTCCAGATAAAACTTAAAGAGCCAAGAAGAGTGAGCAGTGGTGCGCCAGTTGTTTAGTAGCGGAGACTATATGTCAAACTATATGTAATGAGATGTCAAGTCAAATCCTCAGTTAGCTCAGTTAGCTCAGTTGATAAGATATTGTATTTTTGGCAATAAAAATGTACAATGTCCTCTATAAAAAACCAAAAGCACTCACTGAGGCAAGGGCTTACACACTTTGATTCACAGTTAGGAGAAATTGAAGCCGACAGTCTCAGTCTGGTAGGGAATCAGCGTAAGATTCAATAGGGTCTACTGAACATACAAAAGACCTCTCATAAAGAGACGGATCTATGTTATAAGCTTTGACTTGTGTTGCTGTCATAGGAACAACTGGATGTAGATAATGAAAGTTCCCTCAGTCCGCGGCAAGACAAAAGAAGTCCATTTTCACTCCCTAAATTCGGTGGTGGCAATAAAACGGTAAGTTTCAGTCTAAACACCGATCCAATGCACCTTTCTAAGGCAAATAGAACCATTCTTATTCATTCGAGTCATTCATTCGTGCACTTTCTTCACCTGAAAACTGGCGTCTTTACTCACATTCAGACTCGAAAACCAGCCGGAGCTAGAGCCTAGGATGAGCAGCGATAAAACTATTAACATGCAGTAATTATAACACCAAAACTGTACTGTGGGGCCGAGAAAATAATTGAAAGTTTAGTTTTTTTTTTCTTACTGTACATTAACGACATCAACAATGCTTCTAATCTATTAAATCTGATATTGTTCGCTGACGATACCAATGTATTCATGTCACATAAAGATCTGAACTATCTCTCAGATATGTTAAACTTGGAGATGGACAAACTGTCAATCTGGTTTAAAGCAAACAAGCTTTCTCTAAATCTTAAAAAGACTAAATTTATGGTCTTCAAACCAAGACAAAAGCGTTCAATTTGTAATATTCAAATAAGTATAGATAATCAAAATATTGTTAAAGTAAAGGAGACAAATTTTCTAGGCGTAATTTTGGATGAAAACCTAAATTGGAAGTCGGAAATATCTCACGTTGCAAGTAAAGTTGCGAAGTCAATCGGTACAATATCTAGATGCAGCTTCTTTCTTCCTAAATCGTCTTTACGTATGCTCTACTATTCCTTAATTTATCCTTATTTTTACTACTGCAATATCGTTTGGGCTTCGACCTATAAAACTAATCTCCGCCGCCTTGTTATCCTGCAAAAGCGCATTATTAGAATTATTAATAAATCACATTTTAATGCTCATACTGACCCCATCTTTAAGGACCTCGGTATACTAAAATTTAATGATATCCATTTGCTTCAACTGGACCAATTTATGTATTCTTGCAAAAATTCATTCTTACCTCCAAAGTTTAATAACAATTTCTCTCAAAGCAATCAATTCCACTCTTACAATACAAGAAATTCCCAGGCCTACCGTCTACCGTATTGTCGTACAAACACAAAGAAGTTCTCGCCCTTTTTCAAGGGCCTAAGTTTTTAATTCACTTGACAACAAGATCATCAACTCTCAATCCCTCTCCTCTTTTAAGAAAAAACTGAAGATTAAATTATTGAGTAAGTATGAAAACAGTTTATAAATCTTTCCATCTTCGACTTTTCGCCTTCTTCTCTTCAAGCTCCTATAGTTTCTGTTAGGTCTCCTCGCCACTTCTTTTTTTTTTTCTTCGTCTTCTTTTCCTATATTTTTTGTAATTAGTGTGGCAAATAAAATAAAATAAAAAGAAATAAATAAAATAAAAAGAAATGAGACAAGACAAGATAGAGTCCCAACTGAACGGAGGCAAACTTGAATTGGCTATTTACAAGCGTGGTCGAGGATTTGAAATCGGGACTATCTCGAATAGATCCAGTCAGGGCCCCCGGATTACAAGTCCAGCTCTGACCACTCTCCTTTATTTCCATACGCTCTAACCTGCCTGTGCCACCCTCAAACAAGCGGTAAAGAACATCTCTAAAATTCGACGAGGCATTGATGCTATCCCCTTGTTATCTCTTTCGTTTCTCCGACTTCAGCGTTACTGTACGTACAATGCATCGCTATCATTCCCAATGGCGTGTGGCCACATACATTGCTGAATTACTCTCCACATATACTGTCACATGTCTGGCTGTTTCAAAAAAGATCATCCTCCCGTCCATGACCTCGCCCCCTGTAAATAATGGAATCCAAGACAGTTTTGGATTCCGCATTCTTTGTTAGTGGACCTTGGATTGCGAATTCCAATCGTTAGTGGGATTCCAGACTCGTTGAGCTGTATTCTGGATTCCACAACCAAAACATTTTCCGGATTCCGCAATCCGGAAACCTTCCCTTACATGGGACGATTGTCCAGTAGACGTTTAAGCTGGAATAAACTAATTGTTAATAAATCGAGCGTCTTGCGCCGAATTTATTTCTGTTGTTTTATAATTGACTTATCGGTGCCTTTACTTCCAGTTAAATCCTCGTGTTTGATATGTTTTACATGAACTAACTAAGATTGGAATAAAAAAAATACTGAGTCCAAGATGGTTCACTCGGTTTGCTAGGGGCAAATCCGACGCAGTAGCGGCTGCTGCGTCGGATTTGCCCCTAGCTTATTCACCCACGCAGTGGTTATTTGGTCTTGTCGGGCAACTCTCCACCCCAGAGGATCCTTTGAGACGAGGCAAATAATAGCTGCTCAATTGTTGGCTATTCCTAGTACACCAAGCAGCAGTCATTTCTTTCCAATGCTCGCATTCCCAGGAAACGACTGCTGCGAAGACTACTTCGTCCCCCGAAGATCGATCACGAATTCGATTCTGTTGGGGATCTTCCGGTACATTTTACCGGATATTTTTTTTACAATGTTATGCAATGTTATGATACAGTCTCATAAAGAAGTTTAAAAAGAAATACTTTTCATGGTTGTTTTTTTAATCCCCTAGGCGGACTCTGAGGGCTTATCTGATAAGCAACAAGACACTCCCAAAACAGACAAAAAGAAACAATACAAGCAGCAGAAATCAGCAGATTCAACTCGAACAACGGTAAGACGTGAGATGCCGACATCGAGCACTCAGTGCCAGTACAATACGCGATATTTAGAATTATTTTCAATTAACTCCTTGTGTATCTTACTGAGTTTGGATGCACTGAAAGTCTTTCTGAAAGTCCTATTCTAGTCTTCGGCGCATTCATACCCAAAAGATCATGACAAGTTCTATTTATACAGAGTATGCGGAGTTGTTCACTTGGACATTTTGGACATGCGCTAGCCAAATGCATTCTCGACCCCAGACCTGTGATTTTTCTCGCCAGCACCACGGGGCCGAAACTCAGTTTTCTCCAAATGGCTTTTTATTCAAGTGAAAGGGAATGCACATGCGCAAGCTTATCTCAAGTTTCCTTGTAACCTTTTTCAGTCCAGCGGGACTGTTCCCTACCGCTAGCTTAGCAAAACATCGCAAGCCTCGTCCCAGGGTCTTCTCGTTTTCCAATATGGCGGCGGCAGGGATCAGGGAAGAGGGTCACTTCTTCTTGCTATGTTTCTTTTTATAACGACAACGTTTTTGCGAACATTTTTGTGAGGCGTGTGAAAAATTCAACGGAGATAAAAACTCATTTTGATGACGAAATGTAAATTATAGCATCGTTGTTGAAACAATACATACAGTCTTTTTTTTAATAAGAATATATTTTATAAGAATATCGAGGCTGAAATTTACGAAATTTTATGAATATTTTAAGAATAAAGCCAAGGCTGAGATTTTGAAAAGGATAGACATAATTTTGTGTGTTGAAACATCTGTAAATACAATACAATTTTATGTTTTTACCTTAACCGTATAAAATTATTCCTTTCTCTGACGGCGAAACTAGCCAACAAAACGAAAAAACCTGCACTAGCTATAGCAAAATGTTCAACGCTAATGACAGTTCGACGAACGGTACATGTATTACATATATATATACCCCAATAAATTCTAAAACGGAAATGTGATAAGCTATAATTTAAGAATAATACAAGAATATTTTCAGCCTAAAATCGGCAGAAAAATAAGAACATTCAGCCTGGGCCAGAAAAACAACATTCTTATAAAAAAAAAAGAGTGTAGTTTTGAATTACCTACCCAATCCGAAAGCACAATGTAACAATCTATTTACTAGACGCCTGTTTGTCTAAGTGAGTTTTTTTTTTCGGTTACCAAGCCGAGGAAATTAAAATACCGAAAACCTTTATGATAATTTCACAAAGTAACATTGACAACAAATAAATTTCCAAGTGATCTGTAATGAATCTGCAATTTCAAGTAGAAAGTTAACCTTGTAGAACAGATATAAGGTCAGGAATTTTTTGTGTGAGTCCAAACCGTTTAAATTTTAATTTTGTTGCCATTTTATCATCTGGCCATTACTTACTGCCAAGGATCATAAAATGCTTCCTGTTTTATTTGGTTCAGTGCCACGGAAAAAAAAATTATTATTATGCTGATTTTGTGGGTTTCGTCTTGCGAGCAAAAACAAGCCAGTGTTTTCTTAATTGACTTTTACAATATCACAAGAACTGTTTATGTACTCGCGTGAAAAAAAGTTATTTCGCGGAGGAAAATGTGGTCCGCTAACTGATAAGATATCCAACAGGCAAATGCAGTAACATGGAAATTCTTGTCGAATTTCTTATCGCGATGTTTGCTTTTGAGAGAAATCAGTTCCGCTTATTGGTCACAGAGATATCTAATCCCCTACTTTCTATTGACAAAGTCTGAAGTGTTTGAATACTGCCATAAATCATAACACTGGACGCTTTACGTTATCGTCAAGAAAAGGTAGACAAGCGTTTGAAGTTTAATTTTGCATACTGGTGACACCTGGAGGAACTATGATGGAGGAATGCTTAAGCGAGAGTTTCCATGATCCCTCGTTTTTGGCTATTCCGTGCCCTGGTGTCGGAATAAAGGCGCGTTCATACTCGGACACCTCGATCTTCAAAAATATTCCCGAAAAAAATCGTAGCTATTCTCATAGTGAAGATGACAATTGCCGACTCTCGCCTCCTCCGAAGATTACGACAGCAGGTAGTATCGAAGGGTCAATCGATCGTGAGACGTCGACATTAAAAACAAAGCGCAAGATCTCACGCCAAAGATCACCATTTAACAGCGAAAAGGCTTTCGACATTTTTTCCAAGTTTACAAAGAATGACATTGTGGCTAAAGTAACAGCAAGCAGCCCCAAGTTACTAGCAAGGCGCACGAGGTCGAAGACCAAAGACAGTGAATGCCGAGAGACGGTTAGTTCAAATTTGAGTTTTTATTCAGATCTTACAAAATTTTTGCGCCGTTTTACCACATTGATAGTACATTTTGTATTTTTTTTCCCTCGTGATTTATCCAAGTGATACAAATATTCACAGAATTGCATGACTTTTATGAGAAGCTCCGATTAGTCGGATTGATTAGAACACCCGCTATGTTTTATTAGGAACACTAAGATTGGACCTCAGGCGGGATAAAGGAGTTCATTTGCAACCTTGCCTCTATTGTTTTAACTTTCTGGGTGTAATATAACGGCAATGTTTTTACAAACTGATAGCTTTGTTTGTTGACACGGCACACTATCTATTGCCTAGTGAACTATGTTCAAAGACAATTGAATAATCAGTTTCGGTTGAATAATTAGTTATACTTACTTTCAGTTCCCGAGTGCCTCAGCGGTTTGAAACGTTATAGAAAAAGTTTACATTCAGTGTTCGTAAATTAGGCCAGTTTGCCTTTCAAAATACTTGTTCGTTGAAGTTACTATACTATTTCGGCCAAACAAACGTCCATAAAAACTAAATTGTAGTAGAACCAATTCAAATTTATTTGCCGTAAAGTTGTTATGATATCACTTTTGAGACTTTTTCTTTGCAAAAAAAGTCGGTCTCGCCTCCGACCACAGACAAAAAGGAAGATTGCTCAATTGATTTTCGCTAAGACTGACGTCATTTCGCTGACGTCACTGTACCACGATCTTAGTTATTAAAAATGTGTCCCTCTGATTGACTTACTAACATATAATTTACTAAAACTCCTTGATTCTTGTTTCAAGGGCAAGTATCAGCAACTCATTAACCAACCGCGAACAAAATATTTCATGTTATCAGCCTTACTATATAAATAATACTTCATGTTTCAGTAATAGCACACTGAGAGGCTTGTTTTACGCTTGGTGCAATGTCCGAACACAATTGCCAAACACAACTGCCAGAGAACTGGCACAAAAGTCACAAAATTGCGCTTCGTCCAGAACCTTATATCTGATATTGTTCATAATGGACGCAATTGCTCCATTTTACGCTAAGGAAAAAAAAAATGGACTGTCAGTAAACAGATACGTACTTCGAAACTAACGATGTACGCATGCATGCAGTTGAGTTGACATCAGTGCCAACTGAAAATCGTGCTGTTGTGGTTGTTCATATGGTCTCGACCTTGTACTCGCACCGCACCTGAATTCTTATCTGGCTTGGATACAAAGAACCGGTGTGTTCACACTCAGACATCCCCTTGTACTTTCCGCGAGCATCGTACTTGAGTACTGTGCCTGGACACTAAGTGTGAACATAGCCAACGTTTTAATCTCTTCTTAGTCAAATTCAGTGGCGGATCCAGGGGAGGGGCCCAGGGGCCCAGGACCCCCTTTCTGTCAGACCAAAGTGAGGCCCAAAGGGCCGAAAAAAATGTTTTGGAGACTGCCCCCCTACATATCTCAGGGTCTGGATGCCCCCCCCCTTATCTCAAGGCCTGGATGCGGCACTGAAATTGGCCCGGTCGTAACGATGTCGTTGCATTGCGTCGGTACTTTCCTAGCTGCTTTATTAATAACACCTGCCTTTTTGGCAGTAATTCGTGACTGCATGTTACCGACACTGGTTATGGTTGTAAGTCAGTCCGAGACGGACAAATCGCAACTGTAAGGCAACTCGCGCTTGCAACGCATTTTAACACGAAATAATCAGAATCGGTAGGAACTTCAACTTTATCTTTAAGTTTGTCCTTAAGGATTTTTAAGAAGCTCCCTCAAGTTTCTTGCTCATATATTTCATTGCATACAGTGACATTCTGGGTGCAAAGAGTCTTGAGACGTTTCAGTTCCTCATTCCTCAGAGTTGTTTGCATTCCGAACAATTCTGAATTTATTTACTTCAAATAAATGGCAACGCAAAGCTTAGTATATGTGAAACGAACCATTGGCAGATTTTAAAATGTCATGTTCAGTTGACGAGATGACATGAGATGCTTCAGTCAAATAAAGTGACGAACCAGACACGAGTCAGACACTAATTACTAAACGGGACTGGAACGAGGAAATGATGAAGAAATGTTTTCAAGCATCCAACTACTTGTCGGATACGCTCGCATCATGGCGACAGTTAATGGGAATTTTTGTATATGACTAAATATTTTATAAATTTTCAACAATATGTTTTAAAGAAAAACTCAATATCATTATACTAAGTAAATAATAAACACCTAAATATAACACTGGAAATTGTTCAATATAAACGTGATATAATGGGGCATTATTCTGCCCTGATAACCATCTTATCTTTCAATATTTAACTCATTTTACTTATTTGACAGGTTTTCCTTGTGGAAAATATTCAAGATGGATTGGAACCTGCGCTTAAGGTGAGCACATTTACGTCACTGCCCTTGTCAGGTTAGTTAAGAAATGCCGTGGGTGGATGTCAGTTTTGAAGGTCCTGTGAGTTATTTTGAAATTGAAATCTTGCCTATATTTCCCATCTGAAACAGAAAGGGAAGTTGAAATGTTCACTTTCTTCCAGGAGAATATCTAGAGTATTTGGCGTGCGAGCGGCTCAATTCCTCTTATATTTTAATTCGTGCTTCTGATTGGTCGTGAGTCGAGGGAAATTCAAAACAATCTAACAATCAAAAGTACCTACACGGTTATCACTATGGAATTTGTGCGCTTGTTCCTCTTCATTTCGCGGGAAAAAGCTACAGTGGCATCTCGAAATGTCGGCATTTCGGCTAAATACGTTATAAAAATTTATGCATTTGGTTCGGCTCATGTGAAGTTCAGCGTTTATTTGAGTCATCGCCAGTCTGTCCGCAGTCGTTTTCCCGGCTGAGCCGATCCAATTTTGAATGTTGATTGAGACGTCGACGCCGATTGATCCACATGAAATTAATTTGTACTGAATTTGATTCGGTCTATGTGAAATACGGCTTCTGAACCAGGCGAAAAGTAATATCGATGTTTTACGGAAATCGGTCAGATTTTTTATAAAAAAATATTTTTTTTCTGGAAAATGGCCAATCAGTTGAAAGGCTTCATCCGAGGAGAATGGAACTGGCCAATATCCTGTTTGAATGACTCAGAAACCCAGGGAGTTGAAATCCAAAAAAAGTCCCTGGGAAGCGTGCCCCCGGACCCCCCTAGAAACTTACCCCTTTGGCGCTCGTTTAGAAAATCGGTCAGTATTTATCCCCGGATCCGCTCCTGGGATCTCTAATTAAAGGGCTGCTGTAGCCAGACGTCACTTGATGTGTAAAATGAAACAAAACTGAATGCAGGGCCTGCATTACGGCAAAGGGCTGATTTATTGTAGGCCAATATTTCGGCTAACAAAATTAGCCTTCCTCAGGACCAGAGCTGTACAGAGAGAAAATGTTTTTAGGTTATACAGTAGGTTAAACGACCACCGCTGAAATCTTGGCATTAGTTCAAGGGGCAAGTTCCACTTGTAGTAAATTAAAAGATCTGGAGATAAGACGATTGAGGATGCTAGTGGATATTACCCATGGCGTGATCTATGGACTATGCTGCAGGCAGGGGTTTCTGGCAGGTATGCAAACTTTGGCAAGGGCAGGCTAAGTAAGTGAGATGAAGATAAGCGAGGGATAAAATAGATGGACAATTCGGTAATCTCTTTTAGAAAGCCGGAAATTGCTGTATATTTTTTTATTTAAATGTTGCTCGTAAGCGGAGAAAACGTGAACAGCTATGCCAACTTTTATTCGAACAGAGGAAACAACGCTCGCTCTCATCGTAAACACGCATTATATAAACATCACGTGGGAGGAGAGGGTGGTGTTGCTATTTGATCTTCCTGCCGGTCACAATCACACACAAGCGAGGCATTGACCCGCAAAAACATGGCCGCCCAAGCGTACGACGTGTGCAAATGTTTTCACTTTTAAATCGGGGCCATGTCAGAGCGAAAGACCAGCAAGGTTCATAAGAAAGACCGGGAATCAACTGTCTTTGCCGTAGACATCAAGTCTCTTACATCGAGTGAAAGTACCTTTTCCTTGAGGCCGTTGAAGGTGGGAAAGTATTCAGCTGATACACCGTAAATGATTTTATAATTACTTCTTAGTCTTTTCATGGCTCTGTATTGTTGGTCACGCTATCGAGTTTATGAACTTAAGGACTTTTACAAGTGAGCATTACACTACGGAGCATTTGCTAAGCCTAAGCCTTGGCCCTGTTGAAGACACTTTCACAGCTGAGTACGGCTCATCTCAACCCGACATTTTTGCAAACCAAAATATTTGATTTCTTGTTTATATCCGAAATTGAGTTTCGTTGTTTGACCAACTTATCTATTATTTGCCTTAAAGATAGAATTTTGAGGGGCGAAAATGAACGTTTATTTACTTCTGGATATGTCGAGAGTGCGTGTTTCAGTAAAAGGTATCTTCAAATTATAGGTATTGTAAATTCGACCTTTCAGCTAGCACTTGGTGTTATGTGTTCATCCCGCGGTGTCTTTCTTTCAATTTAGGCTTAAATTATGAAACAGTGTTGGCTATGTATCAAGCGGTTTTGTGCGCAAATTGTTTAGATGTTAGATAAATTACTGCCATCCTTCCGCTCTGGATTTATGCGAAAAGCTCTTATTAAAATAATACCGCAAAGTTTGTTTTTGCCTGCAGGAGGTTGTCACCGGAATTCTTCCCATCAGCTATGAAGATGAAATTGTGCAGAAACGGACGCAAATTTTGAGAGACCCTCTGCAGATTCTGCTGGTTTTCCCGGAGGACGATGTTGTAGTAAGTGATCTGACTTTTAAACATTTTCGTGTCGCACCGCAAAATGACTAAATGCATGAGGCGTTTTGCATTTTAACCCTAACAGTATAAATCTACGACCTTCGATGTCCTCGCCTTTGTAGTAACATTTATCAGTGATCATGCATGGGTGAATTTACATTGTACTCGGAACAATGCGAGCACCATTTCTGCCTCTTGCCAACCACGTGCGAAGTGGTGATTTTCTAAAAACAAGTAAGCTTAATTGCAGATAGAAAAAACTAGTGTTAGTGTCAAGCGCATCGATTTTTATCATGTACTTTACTGGCTTTGTATTCTTTGAGCTCAAAACAAAGCTTGAGAGCAATGTAATGCACATCTGCCTTTAAGGCAATTTTTCTCTAATTTCATCCCTTACACCGTGTTAATTTTTATATTTTAATGTTGTAACGTATGGAGGGTTTTTTTCTTTGTTTTTACTTTCTAATCGTCGTCTGAATAATTTTCCTTTCAAGCAAACATGTCAATATTTCGATTCCGGTATTTAAAAAAATCCACATTGTTATGGACCCAATTAAAGTGAGTTTTTCATCTTCTTTAGGGTATATTTGAATTCTCTATCTCGAAACATGACCGAGTTTTGTTGATTCTAGATTAACAATTAATTATACGTAAGTCCAGGTTTTTGTCTCCTCAGAAGTATTTTGTTTTCAAAACAGGCAAATGATAGATATTAAAATTTCATGACGGCTGTTCGGTCTGGTCGTCGGCGTTTGCAGTGTGAATAGAACTCGTGTTTTGCCGCCGTTGTAGATTCCCAACAAGTTGATCTCATGTCGATGGAATTTTGCGATCCAGATGAGCCTTTTCAAATAAGAGTAAGTCTGCTAAAATTCTAAGAGGAGAAACCCTGTTTGGAGGATTTGCTTTTTTAATGTGTTTGAGAAAGATTTTACCATTCACAGTAACAAACCGGGCGAAGCCGAAGCTGCGTTTAAGGATTCTGTAACAGATATAAGGTCATATGAAAGTTGATTTTGAATGGGTTTGTTTTTGACTTGAAGGTGCATATAGTCGCTTAGTTAAACTTATGTTTTGATTTTATGTTCTAAGAATTGTCCTTGACTTTTCCTCAAGTCAAAAATCACGATCATTTTGAGTGTATACAGCATTTAAACCTACTCCAATATTGTGTGACATGTTCAAAACATTTTGTTTGTGACTTGTATTTTTAGTCAAAGGAATTTTAGTGTTTCTCTGCCTCTAAAGTATTTGTTCATATAGATTTTCATTCGACGAAAACTTAGGCGAGACGTGACATTGAATATTGGAAAAGCTTGTAAACAAAAATTTCGATTCCGTATTCTGTTTCGCACATGAAAATTAATGGGCACTGCAAATTATATAATTACACAGGTGTTTTTAAGAATGAGACGCCTTTAGTGAGGATTGAAACAAATAAAATTTATTTTAGAGTTTTCTATGTCTTTAGTTCATCTCTATCTCACACCTTAACACAAAAAAGTAAAAAGTTTTCATTTTTTGTCGAAAGATCCTAATTATTCTTTTTAAAACATTTTTGACCTGGTCATGTCAGCTAGTAATTTTATAATTTGCAGGTGCAAGCGAAATAGCACTGATTCTACAAACGTGGTAAAATTTAGTTGTTCTAATACTGTATGGATCACTGGTGTTCAGAGTGTTACCTCAAAAATGCCACTCATTGTTCAGATAGCAAGAGGTTAATCTGCCACCACTGACCTGTGTTCATTTTCTGTAGTAAATAAATTGCATTTCTATACATTAGCATACAAATTTAATTACTGTAGTTCCTGTTTCTCAATTTTTAGTTATGGGTGTAATATATTTAAGCACTAAAAGGATGAAGTGCTTGATGGTTTTTTTTGTTCAGTTTCATTCTTTAAGGAAAAATGAAGTTATTAAGGGATCTTATCAGTAATACATTTCAGTGCAAGAAAATGTATACTTTTGCTTTGATGGGGCATCCTTAAATTATTTTTGAAACTTTGAATCTTGAGTGTTGTAAAAACTACACGTACACCGGTAATTGAATTGTACATTTCCCTTGCTAAATGCTGGTGAATAATTCAGGAAGTCAGGCTAAGGTAATGCTTTTAGTAAACAAAATATAAACCTTAGAAAAAATTTACCCTAGCTGAAGGAGATAAATTCATCTCGAAGAAAATGTTTTTAATGCCATTTATCTGCAATTGTTATTACATTCTGCCACTGACATGTATATAAATAAATGAATAAATATATAAATAAATAAATTATATATAGATAAATAAAGATTTGGAAGTAGCACTTCCACAAAGTGGTTCTTCGTCTACCTGATTCCTGGTCAAACTGGAATTGGAAATGTTGGTTTTTGAGGAGAGGGGAAAACCGGAGTATGCGGAGAACAACCTCTCGAAGCAGGGAGAGAACCAACAACAAAGTCAACCCACATATGGAGTCGAAGCCGGGATTTGAACCCAGGCCGCATTAGTGGGAGGAGAGCGCTCTCACTACTGCACCATTGCTTGCTCCCCAAAAGCAGTAATTAATGTATAAATGGTCTTAAGGATGTTTATTTTTTTACTTTTTTTATCACAAACCTGTCTTTTTTATTGGATACTGTTTAAAATAATATTTCTTCTGTTGTTTCAAAGCCATAGGCAAACAAAAATCTTTCAGGGACAGAATATTTTCATTGAAATATCTGACAAGTAGAGAACTTAAACTTTGTAATATGTTTATGTAGGTCCATATTTGATTTGTCATTGCATTGCCTATCTGATCCCAACATTTTTTTTCCTATGGAACATGCAAATAAAATGTTAGATCTTCTATGCAAGTAAGTAAAGTTTACCTCATACTGTGGTATTGAAGAGCGATTGTTTTGTTATTTTTTTAGGCCTTTACTTTTCCTCGTGAGCTAAGGACTATTCAGTCTACAGTTCCTCATGATGCTCTGTCCAAAGTTTCAAACTTATTCACGCGTGAGGTATGTTTTATTTATTAACTTAGTGTGGCCGTCATTGAGCATAGAGTCACATGACAGTGATAACATCAATGATCATTGGTGGAGGGAGAATTTATCCAAGTGAGGAACATTCAGTTTTAGTTATCTAAATTTTAGATGCTAGATAAACTATGTACATATTTCTTTTCTTTCTTTCTTAATTTGATTTTGAAACTTGCAAAATACTTTGCTAAGTGTTTCTTTGTTAAATAAAATTGTTATGTTATCATTTATATCCACTGGCAAATTGAAAGTGCAAACTGCCATTGACCTTATTTTGCATGTGCTTTAGGATTGAAATGGATAAAAGCAATGTCACATGGTTTTTGAGGGGGCAAACAAGTGATAAAATTTGCCTATGTAAGAAATCGCAGTTGAAGTTGTTTATTCTCTTGAAATGAGACGATGAATTAATAGTAATGTAAAGTGTACTGTAGGTCGAGTTTTGAAATTTTTTTCAGTGGCCAGATGGAAAATTCTGGTCGCCAGCAAGTGCCTGTGAAATTTTTGCTCAACAGCGAAACAAAAACGACAACGATTTTAAGACGTTGTTTTTTTCGCAAGCTTACATGTAAAACATGATCTTTAATACTCGTGAACGAGCGTAAAAGTCAGACTACCATGTTTTTTGATGCACTAAAAGGCATTAAATGATTGTGTAGTGTAGGTGTCTAAGTTGAAAGGACATTTCCTTAAATAGATAGCCATATTAGTTTAAAGACTGAACATTATAACGAGACAGTGTCTTTCCAGGCACTTACACGTAAAACTAACCGCCATTTTGCTCGTACCAGGTCACTTCGGAAAAAAATTGTTCATACCAGTCTCCCACCTTTGGTGATTTTGTTTGCCCATAAACAGTCAATGCTTTTGATAAAGGATTATGTTGTCCTGTTCTATTTTTGAGGGTGTCCTCCTCTATTCTTACTGTACAACATTAACCTACTATTTTATGAGTTGCAATAATGCTGGCTGTTATGTGCCTTTTGTAGTGCATCAGATGCTACACTGCCAACTGGAGTTGTATTGAGAACAAGTATACAAGATATGGGGGCAGCTATCTCAAACTCCCTAGGTTAGGACATTATTTAGATGATCATATTATGAATAAGTAAAAGTTATAAAGTTGGTTTAAGTTCAGATGAAGTGGTGGTATCTTGAAATGGAGTACTTAGCTTGCAGTCCTTGCGAGCATCCAATGAAATGTCAAAGCAGGCTTGATCATCATCATTAAAAAGATGCACTTTTTTGATATTCACATATGTTATAATTTATTACGCATTTATTTATTACTTCTGATTTATACAGTATGTATGTATCTATTTATTTATTTTAAATGGACAGACCAAGACCAGGTGAGGGATTGCAAGAACAAGTATTTGAGATGGATGCTGCGGATGAAGTGGACTGTGGAAATCAGGTTCCTCGTTGTATTTTTTATTATTTGGATTAATTCACAGTTAAACCTCCTAGAAGTAGGGAGAAACCTAACATCAATGTCTCTGTATTAAAAACCTACACATGTGTCTCGGGAAGTGGCCCTACTCACCTATAATTTAAGTTTTGTAAATGTGCTATGTCAACTACACTTGTATACTGGTTAACATTTCTTGGAACTTGTAGACTTTTTTCAGACGTATGCTTTTAACTGTTTGTGAAATTGATGAAGGAAATTAGGAATAGTCTTTTTTTCATGAAATGGTATTTCTTACCCTGGCTTGGGGGGTCCATTCTCGATATATGTACAGGATGAAGTGAACTGTGCTCAAGGCTTCGCTGTAAACTATCAGCAATTAGTTAAGAAAAAAACCTCAGCACCCATGTTTCTTTACCTTCTAATGACTTTTGTAAAGATTTTCTCAAGGAGACCCATTCGGAAGTAGTTAGAGAACCCATCCCCACCCGTCGATAATGGACGAGAAGTCATGTAATTACCAAGGTAACCATTTTGACTGTTTTCATTGATTGTCAGGATTTGATGATGAGCCCTTGCAGAGAGAAAGGCATCACTAAACAGGGCTACCTAACAAAGGCACCCTTTCATGGTGAAAGCAATGGAACTCCAGGAGCGAAGGTCAGAACTTTTAGTTAGACATTTGCAAACAACTTTAAGTCTGTGTATGGGTATTTCTGACAAAATGGAATTTGTGATAATCGCTATTTATGAAACGACGAGCTTAGAAATTAAAGCAACAATCGCATTGCTATTCGGATCAAGTTTGACAATGTTAGTGTGCATTGAAGGTTAAACAATATGCCCAAAAGTGTGTCAGCTGCATATTCAGAGTTTTTGTTTGATAAGGTATTCCTTAACCTTTTGCTTTTTTCCATCATTGTTGTCTGTTGCTCCTCCAAGCTTGCCAGCTGGGCTTGTAGTGTGACCACACAAATTAATTCTTGATATGCAATAATTTTGTTGAAAAACTGATGATTTGATGGAAAACACGCAACGAAAACCCACAGTGAGGCTCAACATAAATTTATCATTCTTTCTAGTGATAACTGCCAGAAAAAAAACAAAGTGAATGGACTCCCCACCCTAAGTAAAATTCCCCATAACTTTCATACAACCGCCGCATAGCTTTGTAACCAATATTATGACATTACCACCCCTCCCCCAAACCTACCTAACACTATAAAAACTTCTTGATTCTAAATTTTGAAAAATGCTCTTACTAGAAAGAATCTCCGATTTGGTTTTTTTAAGTTGCCAATTTAGTTTTCCTGCGGTGTATTAATGATAAGAAACCTTGTTAAAAAAAAAAAAAAAAAAAAAATCAGGGGAGTTGATGCAGGTTGTGTATTTTGTTAGAATATTCATGTTTTGTGGTCTTAGTTTTTTAAGCAAAAATTACATGTGTTGCATACGAAGGGAGGTGCCACTTTTAGATTTCGGAAAATAAGAACCCACTTTGGGAACCTGAGCTGAGGTGTTCTAAGGTTGATGAACATAAATCTGAACTACATTTATAACCTCTAAAAGGCCGTTTACCGTAAATTATCTAATAAGCACCCGGAGCGTCTATTTAATTCTAAGGATCCAAGCGGACGCATTTAATAGATAGGAGGCGTTTAAAAGAGACAGGCGTTTATTTTCATAACTGTAATTAGCTCAACAATACTTAACATCCTTTCTGCGAAAATGTTAAGAGAGTTTAAAAAGCAGAATATCCAGCCAATCAATATACGTCAAGCCAGCTCAATGATCCATATCACCCTTTTAAATCCTAATATCGATGTCAGAATCCTCGGTCATTGTTATTGTGTTGCCATCGTTAGTCTATACTTGCTTTAACGCTGAAATTGAACAAGATGAAATACGGAAACCGTTGTTAGTCAAGCAAGAAACTGAATGAATTGAATGATTTTGCACCTCTTTGCTAAATAAATAAATAGTTTTTACTTATCTGTTAAATCTAACTTTTACTATTATACCTCTTCTTAGTTAAGGAGTAAAACTATATTTTTTTAAGACACCCTATAATACAAAGTCCTTTTTAGTCCCTTTAGCTTTTACTTCTTCCTTACCTCTAAAATCTAGCATTTACTGTACTCCTTTTCTCCACCCTTTTCTCTACAGAACTTCAAACGGAGATGGTTTCATTTAAAACAGATATCAAGTGATGGATCATATGTCCTGGAATACAAGAAGGTATGGACCTCCCTACCCTGAATTGCTGGTTGAGACGTATTATATCAAGTATGAGACGCAGTGTTTCATCACCAGATAAAACACTGAGAAAGGAGTTGAAATTGCGCGGAGTATTTTTGACGAAGTTCGAGGCGTTTCATCTGGTGATGAAACGGTGTGTGTCGAATGCGTGACATTACTTCTCAAACAGAATGATTTTAGGGAGGGAGGGAGGGAGAAATTAAGGATGCAAAAAATGAGCAGTTTTTCATCTGATTCCCAAACACTCATTAAACATTAAGGTCCTTTGTATTTTCTTTATGAATTATTATTTGAGAAATAATGATAATATCATTACATGTGTATTGCTCCTCAATATTGTGGATGTGCACTTGGGTGCTAAGTCAGTTTACAAGAATTCTACTCAAACAACCCCAAACAAATAAAATGATGAGCAGGAAGCAAAAATTGGGGCTATTTACAAATATAGCTTACGAGTTAAACTCTAGTCTACCGAGAAGCGCGTCAAGCAAGTAGTCAGCAGTACAGTCAAACTCGTTAATACGGACACTGAGGGGGCCACAGAAAGTGTCCGTATTAACGGATTGAATTTAAAGAAAATGTAAGGGCTTTCTTTCCCCAGGGACAAAGCAAACTGTCTGTAATAATGAAGTGTCCTTATTAAGCGGCTGTCCGTAGAGCGGGCTTTGACTGTACTTAAAGTTATGACATGCTTTCTCTAGAGAGCAATTTTTCTTTACGTACATAGTGGGGAAAGACTGCCGTACATTGTAAATGCGTTTTTTTGGCTTTAATGTCTCGAGTAGTAAATATAGATTTGTCGCTGAGTGTTGGTTATACATGTATGCAGGATGATGTTAACACAAGCATGGCGAGAGGAGTGCTTTACTTAGATGCGTGTACACACATCTCAAAGGTACATTAAGTACTTAAAGATGAACTTTTTGTTATAAACAGAGAAGTAGTCGTAAATTAAATCCGCAGCACATTTGACCAGTCACATGATGATTTTTTCTTTATTTATGTTGATGTGAAGGATATATGAAATAATTCATTTAGAACTGCGCTTGTAGATGAAAGTGAAGAATGATCATCGCAGTTTATTTAAGCAATTGGAAAGAAAAGCCTCTTCAACGGCATTTTGACCAAGTCACGATGATCATTCTTCACTTTTTTTTATTTATGTTGTTGTAAATCTGCCTTTCCATGCTGGTGAAGCTTAAGTGTCGTACATGTGATTTTCCGCCAAGAGCTATACAAGCGGTGGTTATACCCCTGGGCCCGGTTGTTTGAAGACCGGTTAGGTTCGGCTTTCCTTATCTTTTGTTCATAACCATTTTGATGATGATGATGATGATGATGATGATGATGATGCTGTTGTGTTACTTTAAGAGCATGGTATCTTTTCTTTCCATTCTCACTGCAGGGAGTCAAGGGACGCATGTACGGCTTCGAGCTTCACATACAAGACAAATTATACAGCTTGGTGGCTGACAGTCAGTCGGATATGGACTCTTGGATATCTGCCCTGTGCAAGGTTACTGGAATAGATATGGAAGGGGGAAGCAAAAGTGGCCCATTCAGTATCATCAGCAAAGTTAAAATACCCAAGGTTCATCAGTCGCTTCGTGAAAGCCTTAAGAGCAGCAAGCATCCAGAACTTCTTGAATACGCCAAAGAAACCGAGGTGTTAAACGCGAAGAGAAGGAAAGATGGACGAAAGAAACTGTTTTCGCTTGTCCACGACTTGGACAATAATGGTACTTGTGTGAATTATGATGATGCGAGAATAGACGCTGATGTTTTCAAAGAGCATTTTGGATTGCGTATTGTGTTGGAGTGTGAAGAACTGAAATTTCGTCTTTTGAGGATTTTACCTGATGGAAGTGAAACAAACATTGAACCTTTTTTTCTTTCTATCGCGTTGTTTGACGCCAAAAAGGGAGCGAAAATCTCGGAAGATTTTCATTGTGATCTTAATGACCCGTCCTCAATTGATATGCTCCGGGGATCGGAGTTGATCGAGAATGGTCACTTCGCAAATGGAAACGACGTTCATCACACTGGACTGGATAGCCAGGAAGTGGAATACGCGTGTCCCAGGAAGGTAGGCCGTGCTGAATAGTTCCGGGGAAGGCAACCAGCGGTAGTTTAGTTATCCAAACACGCTCGCGCTCGTGCCATTCCCTTGTTGTCGCATGCTTTTAATTTCAGTTTTACGGACGTTTGCTTGTGTTTCCTCGTACTGTCGTAGCTTTTCGTTAAATTCGAGTTGCACTCTCTCTTTCCGTTTCCTGAAAGTTCCATTAATTACCGGGCCCAGAAACCTGTTCTGTGCTTGCCATATATGCATTCAAGATCGAGATTTTAATATTTTTCAAACAGACACAATTGTAACTATCGGTCAACCGCGAAAGAAATGGACTTGTTTTTTTAGCTGAAGCCCTCGCCAATATTCTTTACGTTATGATTTTGAAACATATATACGGCATCCTCCACGAAAAGTTACTGCCGGTACTTTTGCAGATGGATTTAAGATGCCTGTGCTCTCTTCTCGCGCCACGAGAATAGCGTTTTGTACTTAAGAAACATTTGATTCCGCATTTTATTATATAAACACCAATGAAATACCAGGTGAGCTTTCGCGCGAAAACATGGTATCTTCACACGTGAAAATATCACCGTTGCTATGTCTACATAATAAATCGCGCCTTTCGCAGGAAGAAACTGTTTCAGTGAAATGATTTGGTATTTCATTGGTGTTTATATAATAAACAGAACATTACATGGCCGCTTGGAGATACGAAATTTCTCTTCTCGTGTTGAAAATATTTCACTCGTTCGCTGCGCTCACTCGTGAAATATTTTTCAACACTTGAAGAGAAATTTCGTATTTTCGCGCGGCCATGTAATATCCTCTATATATTACTATCTGGTAAAATCCTCTTTGGCTGTGTGGCAGGCTAAGAAACCGGCTGGCTTATGGCTTAAATGCAGAAGAAACAAGTTGAAGGACCAAGGCCATGCTTGCGTGAATTTTGTCGATGTAGCTTCTGGAAACTGCTATTGATTGTTGGTCCAAAAATACTCTTCTGGTCGTACAAGAGAAATCAAAATTTGTTACGTATGGTGTAGTCTGGTACACAGCCGGTTTTAGGGTCGTCACGCAATGCTCCGACTACGTATGGTGTTGCACTGTACTAACTTTACTTTACAGCCAGATGTCGATTGGAAAACAGGCCCCAGTTGTTCAAAAGATGCATTATAACGCTATCAACTGGATAAATCGCTATTCACTCGATAGCGCATTTAGTTTCCCAAATACTTATCCGCTGGATGGTGATTTATCCGTTGGATACCGCTATTCAACGTTTGAACAACTGAGGCCAGAAAGTTAAAAAGTAAATAGCGTTATATCCGTAAAGTTCTGCGTTATTCAGATTTATTTTCAGCCTTACCCTACGTTTTTCTACATATCCGTCCAAATTCTTTCCTCAGGCAGTCTTCTCTATAACTGATCCTAATCCGGAAGTTTACTTAGTAATCAGAATAGAGAAAGTCTTGCAGGGAAGCATTGGTTCGTGTGTTGAACCGTACCTCAAGTCTGGCGACACGAAAAAAGCAGCTCTAAAAGCACACAAACTCGCCGAGATCTGCTGCAAGAGCTTGGGACAATACGCCATGCCCTTTGGCTGGGCGGCCAAGTAAGTTTGGTCGCGGTTTTGAATTTTTGGTGAATTCAAGGAAAGTGAGCCGAGTTAACGTTCCCAAAAACTCCTGGGACTATAACTGGGAACAGGGAAACAAATTGGCCAATAAGGAGCTTAAGCAACAAAGTCGGCGACGGCTACGGCTACGAAAACGTCACGTAAAAAGTGAATTCGCGTGGCCTTAAACTTTATCGCGCTTATTCCATCTCGTTTTATTCATCAAATGTTGGCCAATTTTTTTTGTATTTGAATTCTAAAAGACTGTATCAAAGCTCAGGAAAAGAAAAGAAAGTTGTTGTCTTGTGTCCACGTCCAGGACAAAACGTGAAATTAATCACTTTCTCGCTGTAGTCGTGCAGCGACGGCAAAGAAATGTACAAGCAAGCGTGATGCACGTGCAAAGTTGTTGTTTTGCCAGAATTTAAACCTTTTGCTTTGTTGCCGTTCTCGTTGCCGTCCCCGTCGTCGTTGCTTAAGCTCCCTAACAGCTGAATAATGCGTCCCTAGTAACGATCCCAGAAGTCTTTTTCGAGAAATTTCTCGGGTTTGTTTCTTTCTCGTTTCTAAGTGGCAAATTGCGCGAAATCATTGGCCAGAACAAGGTCGGTGTATGGTCATAAACACGCGCCAATTGGTCTCGCACGAAATTCCACGATTGGCGCTAGCCTACTGTACTTGCCTCGAGATGTGATTGGTTTATCATACTCTCTGCTCGATTTTTGATCGGCCAGAGATCAAGTTCGATTTGGTATGACGGCACTTAGTTGAAAATCTGTGGAATATGTTGTGTCTAGTTTTGATGCAGTAATCTGCGCAATAGACGAAACTAAACTCTGGTTAAGTCTGTCCGTCTGCCAAACAGCGCCGAAATCTTTGTTCTGGGCCCCACCTGTGTACCAGGATTTGAGTACGCACCATGATTGGTCTGTTAAGAAAGGCATGGTCGATTTGCCAATCAGGTTGAAAGGAAATTCAAAACGCATTTCCGGTAATTCATGGAGTCCGTCGGCGGCCCAGAACAAGGATCTCGGCGCTGCTGCTTTGCAGAAGTTACTAACCGGGGTTAAATTACGTCTGCTAGGCAGGCTGTGATGCAGAGGCTACAAGCGGTGTCATTTATTCTTCCTCTTTTTTGTTTAGACCATTATTCAACAGTGACAATGAACTCGACAACAGTGAAGCAACGTCCATTTACAAACAGGTTTGAAGGTGTTTTAGTTATTTTTCCCTCACTTTTTTTTCTTGGAATGCGACCACGTCATTTTTTGCTTTGTGCTCTTGTAGTTGGCGAAGTTTACCGGCTATCAGTTAACGTATCCCAGCTACCTTGTTCTCTTGCGTTGATCGTTCTTCTAGAAACTTACAAAGTGTCGTGTTTTCCCCATTTCCTTCAAACTTACGCTGACGTTTGTGCTTTTGCAGGACAGAGAAAAGCTAAGTGACGATGAAGTGATTAAACTCTTATCAAACTACAGCGTCACGTAAGTCATTTGATTACTGAATCGTTTTGGGCACTTCAGCGAGTTGATTTGTGCGCTTGTCTTCCTTATTTTTCTATTTATTAACAGAAAGGAGAAATTCAAGCAACACATCATACCTGGAACCTTGCAAATTTCCCTCAAGACATACAACGAAGGAATCACGAGTAAGTCACTATATAAGAACTGAACACTTTGTTCTCAAAATTATTCTCGAAAAAAGGTGTAACATATTGCTTTAGAGCCGCTACGATTTTTGGATTCATACACACATCCAGTGCTATCGTTTATAGTTTTGGTGGTGAGTGGCCAAGGGGGGAGAAAGAAAAAGAAAAACATTAGATTTTAAGAGCTGGAGGGTAGCTAGAAACCAGAGGTCGGGAACTTAAATCCCGGAGCACTCGCCTCAGAGCAAGTGACTTGCGCTGACTCATTCACACTCCAATAGTGCGTGATGATGTGTACAGTCTTGTAAGGTGAGTCTAACCTTTGCGACTGTGGCCCTAATCTTGCGTTGTGACCTTTGAAATGAAAACTCTTCAGTAGAATTTTCATAAAGTACCATTGTTTTTTCAGCATTTGTGATATTAAATTTTGTTAATTTTGTTTACTTTTGAAAACAAAAAGCGTGAATGAGCACTCGAGTAATGTAGAATTTGTTACTCTACCACTGAATTTGCACCTACATTATTATCCTGAGAAAAGAGCCGACATTGCGCGATGCAACTACAAGGCTCCCCACAAAATGTCGCCTGAGAAACGAGTGCAGAAATTCCATGATGATGACGCGTCACTACCCAGATCTAAGTAGCGCTTCTGATTGGTCGAACGGCGTGGGAAGTTTGCTTTAACCTTTCAGAAGCACTACCCAGTTCTGGGCAGTGACGAGTCATCAGTATGAATTTCTGCGCTCGTTTCTCAGATGTCATTTCGCGGGGAAACCAGTGGTGGTGCAAGGCTGTCATTAAGAGGCGGGGACCGGGGATTTCCCCCGGCTACTTTCATAGGAAAATAGAAGGAAAATAGTACCAAAAAAAAACCCGTAGCTGTTTGATTCCCCGCCTACTTGTTGTCTATACCCGGCAGCTCGAAATCTTGGTGACAGCCCTGGTGGTGTCGCGAAATGTCGGATGTTTTCTCAGGCTAAAATATTATTTGACATATTGACGAAGGATTTACATTATCTGCTTTTGTACCTAGATTCGCTCACGTCATCGCTTATTCCCCTAAAGCCTTGGGATGATTCATCTGGCGTCATTCGGCCCACAGTTGAAATAGAGGAGTTTTCACAAGCATTTCCCGAGGCTGCTCATCCGTACACTTCATATGTCAACAACCTCTATGTCTACCCTCTCTCACTCAACTATAGCAATCAAAAAGTTTTCTCCAAGGTAAGTAATTTACTGGTTATAGAAAGAGCGTTCTTACTTGCTGCCTTTTGGGTTTCTTTACTTATATTCTTACAGCTCCAAATTGACGAAACGAATCGCGAATGAATCTCAAGCCCGTTTCAGATGTCGAATTTCAGGTCTGAATCTAATTTTAATGAGCTACAACAACAGATTTGGTTCATAAGTATTTGATTCAATACCTGCGAATTTAATCTCAATTTTGATGACTTATTCGAGCTTAGGACTTCTGTTTTTCCGTTTGTTTTACAAGATGAAGGTGAACTTTTTCCAAGAAATCTAGGTTTTTTAACTGCCTTTATTTATTTTGTGCCTTTTAAGTGAAGTATGGAGGCGAACAACCCCATACCGGCGACCAGTGCAACAACCCTCAGAGTTGAGGGATAGGCATGTATTGGTGAATGTTACTGTTAATTAAAACACAAACAAAGTTCACTTGTACTTCTTTAAATTGCTTCCTTCCAGGCAAGAAATATTGCTGTAAAGATTGAGTTCAGGGATTCCGATGATGAAAATACACGGCCGCTGAAGGTATTAAAACTAAAGCGACAATGCCCAAACTCTTTTAAAAGCACGGAGAAAAAAAATTTCCTTGTTTAGTTATTATTCCCTGGAGAATGGAGAGATACTGGTTGTCGGTTATGAAATTCTTAGCTGTAAATGCCTCAGTTGAAGGTTTAGACTGGCTTCGAACCGGAGCTAACATCAGTGTCTTGCTGTATTTTACTTTCTAGTGTATATACAAGAAAAAGGGCAACCCTGGATTTACCACACACGTGGTCGCCGCTGTGGTCCACCACTGTACCAATCCCACTTATTACGAAGAGGTCAGTCAAACAAGACACAGACGGTTAAGAAAAGACAGAGACGGTTAAAAAAAAAACAAAACAAAACAAAACAAAAAACACACACATACACCCAGACATCGTCATGTAGCCGTAGACCCAAATGGGTATTTTCATAGGCGTGACTAATTAACGCGAAATGCCAGAAGCAATGTGATTTGTGTCGTAATCTCACACATCTAGCTGAGCAAGCCGATTGGACTAGCTTGTTCCCAGGGTCCTCTGTCGGGGAGGTAGAGAGAGCTCTCTGGGAGCTCGGTGAGATAAAGAAAAGATGGCCGCCTATGTGAAGTCACTTGATTTCGCTTAGCATTTTGATTTGTTGATTGGGCTACTGCGGACGATCAATCCTTTCGAACTGTTTTCAATGCCATATGAAAGATAACTCGTTTAAGAAGACCTTCCTCTTTACCTGTCAATACGAACTGTTGGTTTTTCTCCTTCCTTCTGTTTTCGTCCAAAACCACTCTGCTTTACTTTCAACTTTTAATTACGGTTACCAAAGAAAAACGTAATTCACACTTGAAAGGAGAGGACAAAGCCAGGAAAGAAAAAAAAAATTCCACTTGAATTGCCTCTACAATGTATGTTGTCTTTGTGTGACTGGTTTCGTTGTTTGGTTTCAGGTCAAAATCCGACTGCCTACTCGACTTACTGAGAAACATCACGTGTTTTTCACGTTTCAACACATCGCGTGTGAACAGACGAAAACTAGCATTGGTACCGGATCTATGAAAGGAAAACCTCTTTCAATAGAGACACCAGGTCTATACTGATAGTTTTGCAAAGTAAACTTATTAATATCGCGTGTGAACAGACTAGAAATAGCATTGGTACCTGGTCACTGAAGGCAAATCCTGTTGTATATAGATACCCCAGGTCTATACTGATAGTTTTGCAAAGTAAACTAATTAATATTGCGTGTGAACAGACCAGAAATAGGATTGGTACCGGGTCACTGAAGGCAAAACCTGATAGCTTTGCAAATTAAACTTATTAGTATCGCGTTTGAACAGACGAGGAAAAGCATTGGTACCGGGTCACTGAAGGTAAAACCTTTTTCAATGGAGAAACCAGGTCTATACTGATAGCTTTGCAAACTAAACTAATTAATATTGCGTGTGAACAGACCAGTAATAGCACTGGTACCGGATAACAGAAGGCGAAACCTTTTTCAATGGAGAAACCAGGTCTTTACTGATAGCTTTGTCGAGTTAACTAATTGCGGTGGAACCCGGTTAATACGGACGCCAAGGGGACATGATAAGGTGTTCCCTAAACAGTTTTCGTTAAGGAATGTCTGGAATGTGACCGTCAAAACATTATACTGTGATTTTCTTCGTTCTTTCATTCTAGTGGGATATGCCTGGATGCCAGTCTTACAAGGAACGCTGTAAGTTGTCGAACCAATACCAGATTAGGTTAACTCTTGCTTTTATTTTCCGATTATTTATTTATGTATTAATTGTTACTTTTTTGTAGAAAAAAAAAACTGATCTAAAATATTTCAAAACCCCCATTGTAATTAAAGTGATATTAAAAGTAAGTGTAACCGATTCCAAGTCGCTTGAAAGCGTCAGATTCTGTTATGTCAGATAAATATGACATTTGTTCCCTTCTTTAGAGCATAGTTCTACAAAGAGTACCGTAATACATGTAGTTAATTGGTACACCCCTCCTTTTCTTAGCATAAACACGGACGAATGTAACCTCCTTGTTGGTCAAACAGCACCCAGTGGCTATCTGTCTGCTTACTACGGTGGAATGAAGAAGGTAGGCATTGTAAATTGATGTAAGGTGAAAGAGAGAGCCCATATTATGATCTTCATTCGTCGCAGGGTTTTTGCCATTTTAGAATCCACGAGTTAGGCGTCGATGAGTGTCCAACCCCCTTTTTTTTTTCTCACATGGAAACATTTTTTGGCTATCGACCTTATCAATTAGGCTTCTAACCAACCAGGTTATAACTCCTTAACTCGAGGAGGAAGCCTGCTCTGGAAGTGTTGCTTTAGGTTCCGCCTTGTCATTTTGTTCATGTTTGTTAATAGCGACCTCTTAACTGCAAATAAGCAAAGCATCAGACGGCTTTTTATTGACAATAGCACGGCTAAAAAACTCACTCCTTCCGAGAAACTTGGGTTTTATTGAAAAATTTAAGTGGAAGGGTTGGTATAGGTAAAAGTAGTAATTGTAGCCCATCAAACTACTCAGTGAGGATAAATCCTTTTGTGTTACACACATGTGATTTGTTTCAAGCCCTGTCTTTATGCTTCATATTAGGAAGTCCGATCTGTAGAATAGTCTTTACGCAGCATCCTTCTACAAGTTTGCTAAGCCATGAACATTGCTTAATTCAGCGTATTATTCCTTTTTTCTTGCCTTAACAGACGACTGGTCCTGATTTAAAATGGGTGGATAAAGAAAAGCCGCTGTTTAAAGTGAGCAGCAAACTTGTTTCCACCGTCAACTCAGAGGTTAGTGGTGAAATCACGTGAAAAAAATTCTTTGAAACGTGTTCTGAATCGATATACATGGTGTACTTCGTCTGACTAGTAGCTTTGTAAATATTTCCTTATTTCTTTAGGACCCTGAAGTAGACAACTTTTTCCGTCACTGTCAGAAGTTTGACGGATCTCCTGCTGCAGATATTGAAATGGTGAAGCTATTAAAGGTACTGAGCAGAATTAATCTTGTAACAAATACAAAGGCAATAGTATTTCAATCAAGGTCGTGATAATGTAGCTTCAGTGTCAGCAATGTTACGTTTGCGGTGCTTAGTGAAAGCGCTAAGAAGCTTTTGGTTGCGTTATCTGACGGGGGGGGGGGGGGGGGGAGTACTGTAAACTGCCGCTTATAAGCCCTGGGGGCCTTATAAACGGAGGGGCTTATACCCTAGGGGGCTTATAAACGGAACAGAAAAAGTGTTTCGAAACAAGCTATCAAAATACGTTTTGTGAAAGTTTGAACCCAGAGTCATTTCATAAGTAGGTTGAGTATGATCGTCCAGGTGAACGTGGTCCTGAATAGGACTGTTTTTGACAGTGACTACATCATGTTCACTCAGACGATCATACTCAACCTCCTTACAAAATACCTTTTGACATTTGTAGTCTACTGTATTTCAACTAAGTTTCATGAACATCATGTTAAATCGAATTCATTTCAATGCAAGGACGAGGGGGTCTTATATCCCAGGGGGAGGGGGAGGGGCTTATAATTGGGTGAATGTTTTGTTAAGCGGTAAATGCCTATAACTTAATCTAGGGTGTGGTTGGGGCGGTTATACATGGCAATTTATGGTATAGTTTATGGTGGTAGGTGCTGTTGAATGGATGACGGTGCTGAGATTTGCTTGGTTCAAACAGCCTTTTCCTGTTGGTAAGAGAACCATATTTCGAACAATGCACCATATTGTACTTGTAATTTGACTCTTATTTTTATTCACAGGTCCTGAATGCAGTTAACGTTATAACGGTAGCGAGATTCTTACCTGTTATTTTCAATCAGCTGTTTCACATCCTTGTTGTCACTGGGAATGAGGAAGTCTCGCTAAACACTGTCAGGTAGGGGCCTGGGATTTAGTTGTGATGTTATTAGTCATTTCCGCTTCAGTAGCATCGGATATTTTCACATCTCAAATGTCAAATCTTTATTTTAACACGGTAAAAATTCATCAGGTTGGCTACAATATAAAGTACACCTACATAATCATTTCTAATAATACTAAATACGTATCTAAAAAGTCTCTTCAGTTAAAATATCACCATACTTTCACTAAACTAGACCTGTTTTCCATAAATGCCGTGTACCTAACGTAATTAACTAAAATGAAGGTTTAACAATTGCTTAAAACGATTTAGAGATTTCACTTACCTTAGATTGCAGGGTAGACTGTTCCAGAGAGTTGCACCTCTATAGCTAAAGCTCCTTTTTAGTTAGTTGGTTCAAGCACGTAGTTGGTGTAACCTATCAGAGAATTTGTTTAATTGCTAACACAACATCAGGTTGAAATGCAAACAATAAAAACAAAAGAAACGTAGTTGAAATGGGACACTGGATTAAACTCAAAGCTCTTCATGCCTGTGTGAGTCTTTGTACCCGAAAGACTGATTTAGTCGAAATACCGTGAGTCGTCTTCCGACTTCAAGTTCACTTTCTAATATCTTTTCAGTGCTCGAAACTAGCTTTTTTAGTCAGTTGTCCCGGGACTAGTAGTAGGTGGCATCTACTAGTCCTGAAGGCAATTCTACTAGTCCTGTCTGCCATCCATCATCTGGCCACAAACATGTAATTCACACATTAAAAACCATAGTAAAGCATGACTCACTTTTTTAATTATAATGATAAACACTAATGAAAAGTATACATTGTAATGTGTCTTTTATCTTGAGTTTCTATGGCTAAAAGAAAATATTTATTGCTTCCTTTGCGGAAAGACGAATTTTTGTTTTTACTGTTTGGCAAATTTACACAATACTGGCAAAACATTTTCCCCTTCGGTTTCATTGTAAACTAACCACACAAAATCCTTTTTCCAAGCTGGTTTGAAGTCTCTATCCTTCTTTGCCTTTTTCACTCCTGTTGGCTGGGAATCACCTGCATTAGCATTTTCTTCATATTTCCTTTCTTCATCTTCCCTGCCCCTTTTGAAATAGCATAACAAAGTCACAGCGCGAGAGGCCGCATTTTTCACGATGTTTTTTGGAGTTGCATGACGTTTACACAATTTGCAGCGGAGTGGACTGAGAACCAAACGTGGCCCATTCCCTCACTGTTTACAAAATGGCGATTGTAATGCGGACGTTATGAGCGTAAACAACGTAATTGAAAGAACAATTTTAAAAATATTACGTGCTGATTTAACAAATGTGAAACCAAGATCCACAAGCTAAAACTTCCACTCGTCCATGAGAACGACTAACTCAAAATTTTACTCGTTTTTTGGCTAATTTTACTCGTTTTAGACGAGTAAACGACCGTTAGTTTCGAGCACTGCTTTTGGTGTTTACTTGCCTTTGTTCGTGCTTTACAGAGTACTGATCAGACTGACGGCACAGCTGCATGGTGCAAGCCGACTGGAAGCCCTAAAATCTTATGTCAAGGTTTGGCTTATTTTTGGTAATATTTTTTATTTATTTTAAATTTGTTTTAGGCCCTTTTTCACGAGTTCCGCATGAGCTTGTCTATCGTTGTACAAGGCAATTGGAAAAAGATGACGAAAACATAATCTCATGAGTTTTCATGCATTTTCCTTTCCTTGAGGAGTGTTCTCTTGGCGGCTTTGTCTGAAAACCGTTTGTTCGGTCGTAATTACTCTGTAATATCCGCAAGTACTTTTATAGTCAGCATTAATGTGTATAAAGTATTCAGTTGGTCCTGGGTCTTTTTTGTCCGTTGTAGAATACATTTTCGTATTCCCACCACTCCCCCTCCGGAAAAAGTCAATTTCAGGACAAAAATTGCTTTTATGTACTTATCCGCTGCACTCTGCATAATTTTTAACTCTGGTTGTTGCAGTATGTGTTTGTTACTGAAACGACGCCAAACAACTCAAGGACGATCCACGAACAGTTGTCTAAATACCTGATGGCTAATCTGAAACCTGGGGCTGACCCAGCTGTGGTCAATGATTTCATGAAGGTAAGGCAGTAGTTGATCCATTGCTGAAAAGGAGCTGTGTCACTGCCATTAAAGGAGTTGTGTTACGAAATTCAGCCAAGTTAGGTAATACAAAATGCCCGTTAAATCCAAGAGAAATATACAAATAACCGCTTAAAACGTTAAAGGAAGGTTAATATAACACAGCATAAACAAAAGATGCCGCGGATGGGCAAAACTGAAGAAGATTAAAACGGATTGAAATTAAAGTTTTTGAAAACTGTTCAGCCTAACAGTTTTTCAAAGGTTATCTCTGCTGTTTGCAACTTCAAAAATAATGCTCAGGAGACATATTTGTTTGTCAAGAATCTCTGACTTTGTCATTTACATGTAGTTTCTTTGCTTACTTTAAGTTCCATAGCGATTGAGGGCAAGTAATTGGCAAAATTAAGCAGAATAGACTACTGTGACACAGCCCCTTTAAACTGAATTGAAGCTAAAAAGAACTGCTCAAAACGTTAAAAAAAGGTACAAATAACAGAGCAAATACCGAATAGGAGGAGCAGGTGGACAAACTTGAAAAGGACTGAAACAGATTGCAATTACGGTTTTTAAAAACTTGTTAGCCTTACAGTTTTTCAAAGTTCATTTTTGTTGTTTTGTAACGTTTGATTATGGGTCTTCGCGTAATAAATATTTTATTCACTCTTTTGTTTTTAAGCTTTCGTGGTTTTTCTTTGAGATTATCGTGAAGAGCATGGCACAGACCCTTGTTCAATCTGACAAGCTAACGGTAAGAAAACTTCTTTAATAAATTACCATCCAACACCATCCAATGATAGGCAAACTACAGTCAAACCCCGTTTGTACGGACACCCGCTCAATACGCTAGCGGACACCTCATTATTACAGACAGTTTGCTTTGTCCCTGGGGAAAGAAAGCCCTTACATTTTCTCTAAATTCAACCTGCTTAATGTGGAAACTTTCTATGGCCCCCTCAATTTCCGTATTAACAGGGTTTGACTCTACCTTTCTTACACCCCGCCTCATTAGGGGACAGGTTGCTTGTATGTAATCCATTATATCTTACTTTAATTATAAACTCTTTTTTCTATAGAGGATGAACCGGTTTAGCTGGTTTCCTGAAAGCTACAACCGCTGTTTAGAGAATTTCCTCCAAGCCTTCGTTCCTCAGATAATCAGCCGATTGAAGGATCAGCCTCAGATAGCCAAGGTTTGTGCATCCGTAGAGGTTGATGCCTAAACGAGATAATTATCGTAGAAGCCTTTTGAGGAGAATAGTTTTGACCCTTCTTCTTGTTGTATCTTCTCAGGAAGCAAATTTCCATTTAGCCTGCTTTACAAAGGTATGTTTTTTTCCTCTGTTGGACAACGTTTAGCTCTCTTCTCCTTCCCGTGCAGAAATCCAGATAGCGTAACCAGCATTGGTCAAAAGTCTTTGGCAAGTGTTTCAAGATTAACTCTTGCGAAGCAAATCCTTGGCTCTGTTTCAGTGTTTTTGTCGTTGTTTAACGGAGACAATCATGTTTTGTTGTGATCAGCCATTTTGGACTATACCCTACAGATCCTGCTAACAAAACCATGCATGATATCCTATAATCATCCTAAAGACCCTTCCACCTGTGTTTTTTTTGTTTAACTTGTGACCGGGACCAGAAATCGAAAATTTGTCAACACGTCTAAAAGGAAAGCGTTAAAATTAGTCAAGATTCCAAGATTAAATGTGGTGATTGGTTGAAAACTAACGGAGATAGAGCTCCATAAAGTCACCGAATTTTACAGATGTTTGTATGGTGGGGCGAGTTCGTGCCCATACAAACATTTCTCGACTTTGTGGAGCAATACCTTCTCTCGCTTTAAAGGTATCACCTTTAAATTGGGTAAGTTTCCTTATTTTACTGAAGGTGCTGTTTCCAACAGTGTTAATAGTCAGGTCTCTTAAGGTCAGGATCGTTACAGAGCTGACAAAAGCACCAAACTTTGCACAGCGATAGCTTATTGCAGTACCATGAATATTAGAGGGGGTGCCCAATGCAAATATGCCACTGAAGCGTGCTAAACAGGATTTAATTATTGTAAATTTCACCTGCTGGGATCCCTGTGGTGTTTTGATTGAAAATTGTTATTTAATACCTTAAATCACTCTGAATGCTATTCCCATGTTGCAAACAACAATTTCACTTGAACATCTGGCATTCCCATCCATTATTAGCTTATTGATTGTATAATTAGGTTGATTATTACTGTGCCCTTAAAGCAAGTCCACAGTCCGCCCACGTTTTCATAAGTCATTTCTAAGATGGCCTCGTCTTTGCTTCATAACTTGCAAGTACTCAGCTTCTGGGGTTCTCTTCTCTTTTTCTAATGTACTTCAATTAGAGGAGGCCTTATTGAGTGGCTTAAGTCTTATTTATCAAGTATTACTTGTCATTACATGTCACTTTAAGCTAAAGAAAGCGAATGGCATAGCGATTCACACACAAAATTTCAGAAAAAAGAAATTGTCAAAGAGTCTGTTGTACCACATATGATCAGGGATTTATGACAGCTATTCAAGAAGAGCAAATAACGAAATAACAGAACCCAAAATGGTTCTTTCCTAGGGAAGTAATTAATTTTTCAGCTTAACATAGGCCTGGATGCCTTTCAGTCTCTCTTTATCCAGTTATCTGCTGGACGCAAGTGCAAGTTTTGACAGAGAAGCAAGCACCGTGGCACAAGTCATATCATTTACAATTCCCGCAGTTTGTCTAAGCTTTACAAAGCAAAAAGAAACAAAAAAGAATCTGGTCTCATAAACGAAAAAAAGAAACAAGTTAGCCGAAGCTTCAAAAAACAGCACAGTTTATCATGAAGCCTCTACATTTGGCACTGAAGCACTCATGTCCAAAAATAATAACAGCTTACCAAGTCGTAAAAGTGAGACTCAAGTGATACAAGATTGACTCAAATGATAATGGTGAATGGTTTAACTGCTGAAACTGTAGAAAGGGGGCCGGGCTAACTTTTAGGGCCTGTTTAAATGGAGGAGGGGGACCCCGGGTAGGCATGGTAACCCACTTAGGTGGGGCAACCCGCCGACCCATATAATCTCTCCTGTTCATTTGATCACGTTTACATGATAGGTGGGGTCACCCTTCAAGGTGGGTAGCCCGGTCTGCCACACCAGGTAACCCTCTCAGCTGAGGTCAAATTTTGCCATGTCAACGTTTCAAGGTGAGGTAACCCAGGCTAGTCGGGGTCGGATTCGTGACACATCAAATTCGCGCAAAATTCACTTTGGCGCCGGTTGGCTTCACATAATTATTAAAGGTAACAATAGAAAGCCACAACACCGAAGGTTGCAGCAAGTGAGCGTAGACGCGGTTTGTCAGCATTTTTCTTGTTTACGTGCTTAGCGACCATTCAATAATCTTGAGAAACTGCACCCCAGGACGGCGGGGTTGTAAGATTGCATGTAAAGGGGGCTTATTTTTTTACCCCACCTAAGCAGGTTACCTCACCTACCTGGGGTCCCCCTCCTTTATGTTAACAGGCCCTAAGTCTCAGGAACCGTGAAACTGGTAATAAACGGTATATCTAACCCGGGACTAGCTGTGATACTACTTCCATTTTCAAGAACGTCAGCATAGCAGCCAAACGAGCCATTATATCGGTGTAACACGAATATTAATTTGCGGTTGTTTCATGCGTCTCGTTTCGTGACTTTTTTTGTGTTCGTTTTTGTCACCCCTACTAACAAAATATTTCGTAAAGCTCTTTAGAATGATATTCAGCAATAAAAACAAGGTGTGACCAGGAGCCGATTTCTAGGCTCGTGGTGTGGCAACATAGGCATCATTGAATGCAAAGTTTTGCAGTATGTAATCTGTCAGAAATCTGTTTGAGTGGTCAAAGTTGGGACTGATGGGCTTCTTTATCATGACCACTCCATTATTATAAGAGACCAGGCCATAATTATTGTTGACCCTTGCTTTTTTTGGTATTTTCTGTAATTTTCCACAGCATTATTTTGTGAAAAGCTGGTAACTGAATTGCTCTTTAGGAATTCATGATCGTAAGATTTCGTAACCACGGGGTATTCGCCTAATTGCATCAAACACATTACATTCATTTTCATAAATGATGCATCACTGGTTGGCTAAAAGAGGCCTTGTTCCTGTAAATTTCAGCTCTTCTGAAGTTAGTTTGTTTGTAAATTGTAACGCACGCGACGACCTTCCTTTGTTTTGAAAGATCGTATAGACCTACCACTAACACTCTAGTCCAAGGGCTCTGAAGTGAATGAGCCGCTTACAGGTGTCTAGGCATGCAGGGACCTCATACACTTCTTTTTAAATGCAAATGTGTAAAAAACAAACCGTGTTAAAAATTCCTGGAGAGGCATGTTTTACAACCTCGTCCCAAGGGCTTAATAAAAAGGTAGAAAAACTTGAGGTCGACGGTGCGCTCCTTTTACCCCCCTCTCTCCATTAATTTTCCGTTTTAAGGGTATTTAGAGCTAGTCAAAGCTACACAGAAAGGAGAGAAGTTGAAATAAGGATGTGTTGACACCGGGGATCGAACTCGGGACCTCGCACACCGAAGGCTGCGCACTAACCAACTGTGCCACCCTTGCTCCTCCTTTTCCTCCTGAGGACGAGTTTGACATGTTTTAATCATTATCTCAAGGACAGGGTTACCAACGAAGCAAATTATAATCTATTCTTAGCTGCACAATTACAAAGTTGGCGCGTTGTCAGTTACGGTTCATGAGGTCGATCATGTGGCATGTCAAACTTTCACGATTCTGTCGTTTAGGATGTGATACATTTGAGTTTTATGTTATTGTGTCACATCTTTGAAAGCTGGCTTTGTGATTTGTTTAAATTGATATGTAATGATATTATCACTGGCAAGTCTTAGCAGTGACACTGATAGCCGCAAAGGACGCACAGTGAACATAGCCACATTTACCGTGTGGAGACTGGGCACTAGTCAGTATTATGTACATGTAAAACTATTTTGAGTAGTGTAACAAGAACTAAACATTACCAAATTAAAAACTTAAAAATTTGAAACAAAAGTTTTTTTGCCAAATCAAACAAGAAGAGTACTCACCACAGGGCACCCAATCTGCTATTATAGGTGGAAGTTAACCCCCCTTTTATCTGTAATTAGGACCATTTGTAACGGGCACCCCCTCCAGTATTAATCGGTAGGTGCGAAGAAAGCTCTGTGCCAAATTTGACACTTTTGTCACGTCTGTAACGATCCGGCCTATATTTTGCACTAAGAGACCTGACTATAAGGATATTTGCTGACTCAATTGGGGTGGAAGGGTCCATTGGAGCACGGGATTTAACTTTTCATTTTGGTTGTAGAATACAATATCTAAATCAGTCACACTGTTTTGAATCTATCTATTTCAGGACTGTTTTACTTATCTGGACCGTGGATTTGTCTTTCAAATGATCAGCTATTATTCTGAACAGTTCAAGGATTCTGATACACAGGTAATGCTCTGTTGTACATTAACTACATCTAAATGATTATAGTTTTGCTTAGTTGTACTTGTACTATAATCTGCTCAGGGTGTGTTCACACTGTACCGGATAGCTTTGGCGCCGGCACGAAAACCATTCCAGACAGGGCTTCTATTCACACACATAAGAACCGTGATTTCGACGCGATATTCTGTACGGTCGAATTGGAATTTAGAAGTGTTTGTTCAGCCTCGTACCCAGGCCTGTTCGCGCTATCCGAATGACCAGAGGAGGTTTGGAACCGAGCGCGATAGCGTCCTAGGCGAATTTTCCCGACAAGCTTGACAGGTGACGTCACTTCCGAAATCGCCGAGGACGACTGGGAACGAGGCTGGTGTTTGTTTTTTAGTAGAGGAAAAAAACGGAGTGCCTGGAGAAAAACCTCTGGTAGCAAGAAAGATAACTAACAACAAACTCGACCCACATATGCTGTCGACATTGGGATTCGAACCCGGGCCGCACGTTGGTGGAAGGCGAGTGCTGTCACCACTGCGCCACCCCACCCTTGCCCCAGCTCCTGTTATGTGCTAGTTTGAAAGGCAAAGCATTTATGTGATTTTATTTCGTTTCCTTTTAGATGTTAGAATTTAAATTCGAGTTTCTGCAAGTTGTCTGTAATCACGAGCATTACATTCCACTCAATCTACCTTTGGACGTCAGAGGTAAGCTAACTTGCGTCACTCTTTTATCTCTTTATTGGTGGTGCTTACTGAACATCTGTAATATATTTCCCAGGACTCGTAATAAAGGAGTAAAATTTGGTCGAATGTCTCCAATACTACTGCTCAGCCGAAGCCGGAGCACTCGGCTAAGTGCTCTCCACTCCTTTTGCAAACTTGATTGGCTGAATATAAGGAAGGGTCTTCCCAGTAGTGGCTTCGTTAGCGACCAGTTCACGCAAAGCTGGTTCATCAAAGAAGCTCTACAATAATACTTAACTGGCGTTTTTAAATTGTCCCTTCTACTCGCCACCGTGAATGATGATTTACCTTTATTTGTTAATTTTTGCCTTCCTATAGCTCTTGGCGGTGTGCACGACTCCGAGTTGACGGATGATTACTGCAAGAGATATTTCCTGGTGGGACTGCTATTAAGAGAGGTAACAATATACAGATGCTGTGGCAGTAGACTAGTAATTTTACAGCAGGCTGTCGATAAATGTTTAATGTCCAAAATCGGTAGACAAAATCCCTTGGAGGTAACTTTCCCAAAGGAATTTAAACGGCATGTTTAAGAGCTCAAAGTTGGAAAAATTTAAGCAGTCATAGGAGGCGAACATCAATTTGTTCGTTAATCATTGATACTCTTTTTTGAAGCCACTGAAACTGTTTTGCTCAAGAAAGCTATATTTCAAATGTTTTTGACGGATTTTATCTAGTTGTCGTATATTTGCAAGATTTTTAGCAACTTTCTCTCCTTCTTGTCCGCGAAGACTCAAATTGTAAACCAGACCCATTACAAGCGTTGATGGGATTGGCTGAAATTTGTCGGGGAACTCTAGACTGTGGATGATCGAATTTTTAATTAACATTGACGGTCTCGCGATAGTTATCTACAAAGGCAAGAAAACGAAAAGTTTGGCTCAATTTGGAATGCTGTTGATCACTTTCAGGGGTGTAGCGTAGTTTCAGTTACATGCAGTTCATCTACGTTTTATGATTTATTTATTCATTTATTATGTATTTGTATATTATTTTGTGTATTTTCGTGAGCATCTCTTTTTATTCGTTATATCCCAGATCTCCTCAGCCCTTACACAGGGTCGTCACATAAGAAAGCTAGCTATCAGAGTTTTGAGGAACATGCTAGTGAAACATGAACTCGATGACCGCTATGAGGGCGAGGTAAGTTCCAACTACAACTAACACGCATTGCTAGCCAGCGAACAAAACGTGCGATTTATTTTCGCAGTCATGTGAAGAACAACTCTCTCAATTGTGGTCAGTCTCTGGTGAATTTCAGTCTTGTAACCATACAAACAGTGCTTCTCAAGACTTGCAGTTGACTGGTGATTAATGGCTGATTTAGCAACAGAACTGGAACGTCAGTTGACGACGGGAAAGCACGCAGAAGGGACTAAACACGACTTCCGGTGTCCAATTTGCCGCTCTGCCACTGGTCAAGCTACAATAGTTGTTCGATTTTCGGGGGCCGTCGTCAACTGACGTTCCCAGTATGTTGTTGAATCATGCAACTTTAATTTCCTTAACTCGACGGTTAACTTTTTATAACTGTAATGCGTTAGTTAAAGCTAGTCTATTGAAATTTTTATTTTTAGGTTTTAATCACTGTAATGTGCAACTGAAAATTTTTACATTGGCAAGGCTGTGCTCTAAGAAAAATTGAAAAGAGCCCAGACTTCTGAACCTGTGAAATCCAGGGTACACAGTATATGAATTATAATATTTTATGAAGAAAGTAAGATTTTCTAGTCGCCCAGGAGCAAAAGTTAGACACAAGGGACCACCGCGCTCTACTAAAGCACAGCCTTGATTGATAATTTCATGGCGCAATATAAATCTATTATTATTGTTATTTGGTATTTATTCCTTTCTTGGGCTTGTGATTTGTTTATGAAATCTTTATATGCTGCTGAATTAACGGCCTCTTATTTTTGTCGCCAGCAAAAACAAGCCCGCATTTGTACCCTGTACCTTCCCCTTCTGTCTGTCCTTCTGGATCATACTCCTCGTTTCCATGGCAGCAAGTACGACTTGTCTGGCCCATTCGTCACGCAAACGTCCCAAACCTCCTCGACAATGAATGTTCCTAACAGTGAGTTTGGCGCGGATTCCAATCGCAGCTCAAGCTATTCTGCCGCTTTGAAACAGAGTCCGAGTGAATCGCTGACCCCGCAGTCGGCTGCACCGCTGAGGGAGGCCACACAGATCGCTTTGCAGGTTCCATTGGATGAGGATGAGACGAAAGAATTGCTGTTGTGTGCGCTTTACATCTTTAAGAATTTAGAACAAGGTAAGTACAGTCTATACTCCCAGAGGGGGGTACTTTGGTTACTTTTTGCTGGGCATGTGCGGCTGGCCTCTCAGAGCCCCTACCCCATTATAATCTATTCTGTGGCCAATTATAGATCCCATCTTAGTCTTTTTTCGGCAAATATGTAATTTTCGCCAACCCAACTTAGCCACTTTCTATTTTTATGAATTGACCCATTGTTTTAGATTGAATGAAGAACATTTTACTTTTCATCTACAGTATAAACATTCTGGTACGTTTGCTAACCGTAAATATGAAGAACTGTTTTAACCCAAAATATCCGAAAATGTGCGACCCCATTATAGTCAATCCAGTCGTGAAAATGCGGCCCCATCCAGCGGCACATCTCCATTCGCCTCTTATAAGGAAGTACCCCCCTCCCTCTGCCACCCCACCCCGGGTGAGATTTAGTCAAGGCCAAAGCGAAGCTCTCGTGAGATCTTTTAAAATAAAACAAATAGATAGTAAAAATTAAATCAATCCATCTTGCAGCGAATTCTAAGCAGGCACTCTTTGCTAGAGTCCACTTGATGCTGAGGTGTGTTCGCTAAATACATGAATATACAATCTTACTAATGCGCAGGTCCGCTTATCACGAGGCACCATATAATCTATTTGTTTGTGGTATTGAGATATCTCAACTTTCCACTTGCTAATTACCGCGGTTTTATGTTACAATTCAATTTTATTCAGGTGTAATCCTCGATTGGTGGCGACAGATTCTCTCCTCTTCACTGAAGCGTCCTCACTGGCATCCTACGGTGTTGTACCTCATTCACCAAGATAAGAACTACGCCAAGTTTGCAGCAATTATAGACGTCTTTGATTTGCTTGAGTATGTCATTACAAAATCTATTGCTGGTTTGCACGTGACGTCACGGCGGCCATCTTGGTGGTCAAGAACAAAAGCATCGTTCTCCTTTGGAACTTAACTCCATTTTCATGATAATTCTTCGAAAAAAAATTCTATTGTATTGACCGCAATTATAGACTTATTGTATTGACCGCAATTATAGACGACCACCAACATGGCCGCCTCATCACGTGGTTGCAAACCGAAAATCTTCTTAGCTGCAAGTATAAGAAGAGGTGTATGTACATGTAGTAACATGAAATGCCAAGTTAGGTTGTAGCTGCTGGCCTGAAAGCAGCAAATCCTCTCTGCAGCCGTCCCTTGAGTGCTACGCTAAGAACAAGCCTCCCAGGCAGACGGAGGGGGCGCGCGAGCGAGCTGCGATAACCTCAAGGGGCCGTCGCACTCGCGTCTTCTTTTGCGTGCTACTCTCTCGTGTCTTCTCGCGACTCCCCCAAATTGATAGCTTGCTCGTAGGCTAACGTTCTGAGGGCTTCGTCAGGCGTCCCTTCCCGGACTGCGTGACGAGTCAGCAGAACTTCTTCGTGGGAGGCTAGCAAAGAACGGCTGCATAGGGAAATAGAAAGCATAAGGTGCGAAGGCGGACATCATATAGGCTCGACTGCGGACAGGTTTATTAAAGGTTAGTTAACATGAAATTTGAAAGTTCTTATTCTCAACCTTCCATTTGTCTCTCCTCAATGATAGATCGCGTCTTGCCCTAAGGAAACGATGTTTGTGTTTGTTGTGTTGTTAACATTTTCCTTCCTTGTTTTAAGCGGTTTTTTTTTTCAGTGTCTTTCATGGCTGAATTTGTCCTGCTAATTGAGAGAACAAAATGCACGTTTCATTTGGAATGGTCTGTGTAATTTTGCTTAGTGAGCGTTGGACCATAACGCCCGCGTTGCTTATTGCGAAAGTAATTTTCCTGACGCCTCGTGATTCACAGGCGATAGTAGTCGATGCTAAAACTTCCAAAGGTCATACTTGACAGGAAATCAAACCGAGTAAGCTTTTGTTGCAGCGAACCGCAATACACCTTTATATCGTACATCACAAAAACGTCTTGGCATTGAAAGAACAATGTCGTGAGTGGATCATTTGGTTTTCATACTTTCATATTTATAGTTGAGCTTTGTTGTGTAAACCATTTTATTTTTCATACTGTTGCTTTCCAGGCTCGCCTTGAAGCACTTTCAGTACGCTGGAAAAGAGAAGATTACTTCTCAAAGGTAAGTGTCCTTATCTTAGAGCACCCAGTGTTCTGTCATAATATAAATGTCGTCGCTTAAGGGCTATACAATGGAGAAAATGGCGGAGAGGAGCGAAGAACAGGAAGGTCGAATTGTTTTGCAGCCTAGTGTGATATCTGCATTCCTGTCCAGTACAAGCTGATGCACGAGTCACGGCTAGTCACACGATGGGGACAAAGTATCAGCACCGGAGTAAGTCTGACCTCGTTCCCAGGGTACGAAGAGGCGAAAAACCCTGGGAACAAGTATGGAAAAAGTGTGAAAGATTCGCGCGCAGTCTGGTTCCTCCCGCACCAACACTGATCGCGCGATCATTACTGAGATACGCAAGAAAGCTAAATTGCACTTTCTAGAATTTTAAGTTGCCATGGTAAAAAAGGACAAGTATTTTGACATTACGTGAACTCAGTCTGGGTTTTCTCTGCCCATACTTTAAACATGCAGTCATTTCAATCGCATCAAACAATATTCAATTTAAAACTTGTCTATTAAACTTGCATGAATTTAACCGTGCATAAACGTAAACTACACACATTACGTCTAATAAATATTAACCTCGTACGTTTTGTACTTTAACAGATGGGTTGAATATCTCAAAGCTCAATGGCGTCCATTACCCACCGCAAAGTATGAATGTGTATCGTACATGTACTTTCAGGAAAATAACATTAATTTAATTTAAAAATCATTTCTTGGAAATTACTTTAATGACTTCAAATAACAACTCATGATCTTAACAAATCGTTGATATTATTCAGCAATTGTAAAGAATAAAAGCTCTTAAAGGATCTTCAGATCTAAACGTCGCGTACTGTTTACTGAATTTTACTCTTTACAATAAGTAAGAATAAACTGAAATAACCAGTAATCTTACATAGGTCCTGTTTAAGTTAACAAGTGACCCGTGAAAGCGTTTAATTATCGTTTTCGTACTTTGCCTATTCTTTACTTTACTCGTTTCATCTCATCCATTGACACTCCTTAAAGTAGTTATCCAGCGACGTCCTCTTGAATTTCTTTGATTTACCGTAATTTGGGGGGGAAATAATTACTGTATTTACTCGAATAAATTTCCACGCTTCAAGTGCGGTGCTTATTTGAAAGCTGAACGCGACGGAGAGTTGTTTCTTTTAAGTTACCGGTATTATAATTTTCAGTAACTATAACTGACTGCACTGACTTCAGTGACTATAATTGACTGCACCGGGCCTTGGTACTTATTCGCGTAAATAAGGTAAACGTTGTTATTCATCCTATTCTCAGCACAAACAGTGAAACAGCCAAGCAGTTTTTTGAGCAAAAATACCAGGGAGGAGCTGCCAGTCAGAGTAAGGTCCATCATTCCAGAGTATCCAGTAGCGGAGGTAATGATCTTTTCTTACTTCATGATGATCGCTTACTCTTGTCCCGGGCCCTTGGAAAGTTAATCTCTGGGACTTCGTCATAGCAGTTTAGCGGATGAATTTCTTCTGCAAGACAAATTTGAAGTTTTATGACAAGTACAATTCGACCTTTGATCCTTGCCTGAATTTCAGCCACCTACTCATCTCGCTAAGTCACTCGGGAGGTGACTCCCCGAAGGACTTAGCGAGGGAAGGAGGCGGCTGAAATTCAGGTTAGTGTGTCTAAGACTTAACTCTCTCCTTCATACAGGCCTCTGCTGGGTATTCGAATAGATTTAAATGAAGATATGATACGTCGCAGTGGTAATTGCAATTTAAGCAATTGCAAATTAAAAATTTGGGGGGGGGGGGTTAATTTGCAATTGCTTAAATTATACGAAATTTTTTTTTCGTTAATATGCAAGTGCTTAAATTTCAATTGCCACTGCGATGATCAGATCTTCATTGAAATTTGTATTTCCGCAGTTCACGTCATCATTCTAAAGTAGAAATTGTATAAAACTGAAAAGGAAGAGCGCAGCACTGTAGCGCGCAGGTTGCCCCCTTGCACTTTCCTTTCCCCTCCACCCAGCTTCTCTGTGACACGAAGAGGCCTTCGCAGTGGAGAGGAGTGTTTTCCCTAAATTGGTGACCAGGTCCTTATATCTGAATCTGGCTAAATTGCGTGACACAGCGTCTTAAAGGAGACATTTGTTGCGGTCATCCACAGCCTTATTACGCAGGATTAACGCTTTTTGCGGCGGAAAACTAAATGAAAATGAAAATGAAAATGAAAAATGAAAATGAAAATGAAAATGAAACTATCTACTTTATGTATTGAGCACTGTTTTACGGATTTCAAGTTCAAACCTCTGAAAATGAAACTGTGTGTGTAATTTATCGTAAAACGTAACCATGGGAACGTCAAAGAGATGAAAGGAGCGACCATGACAGCTCCATCCTTTATTTTTCTCTGAAAGGTATAAACATGGATGTTTGTACTCGAATTCTGATGGAGGGAAATCTCGCAAATGAAGTCGGTCTCATTGTTTTGGACACCATTGAACTATTCTGTGGTCACTTTAAGGTGAGTGCACTCATCGCTTTTTTATTTTAGGCTTATTCAACCTCAAAGTTCTTTGGCAAATCAAATCTTAATGCATTATTTTAAAATTATTTGTTTGTTTTCAAGTTTCACTTGGAACAAGAGGAAGGTGACAATCTCCTGATGAAAAAGGTTTGTCTAACTACTGTATTTGCTATGATTCAGAAATTTGACAGTTCGTCTTGTACAGCATAATAAACAGAACTTCAGGAATGTTCTGCTCTGTAGTTTTCAGTCAATAATTATCTTTTTCCACTGACTTAAAAGTTAAAACAAATGTCATTTGTGGTCCATTTGAGTTAATACTCCAGGGAATGAAAGAGTGAGTAACATCTTCACACTGTTACAACCCATGTGTTTTCTATGTTCAGGTGTTCAGCGTACTGATAAGCTTCCTTCAGATTCCTCAATCAGAGTTTATGATGAAACACGTGTTTGCAAGCCTCAGATCGTACATCAACAAGGTAAACTGCCCGATCAATACTGATCACTTATAAGTTTCGGTTTTACTGATATAGAAAGAAAGAAAAAGTGCATGATGAATATTGCCCAAAAGGTAGTAACTATGTAAAACACGCTACGGCCTGCGCCACTTGATAAACGACTAGAAGGGAACTTGAACCGAAATGCGTCCCGCAAGTGTTTCTGGGATTGTTACTGAGAAATCTTGCTGGTCAGCTATTGGTGAATTTTTTTTCGCTGTCCCTAGTAACATTCCCAGATGTCTTTGCAAACGTTGACTGGGCCCAGTTCCCTTCTCGCGCGGTTTTTCTCATACTGTGTTCTTGTAAAATAGAATATGTCCAGTCACCATAGCCAGGGAGTTTGGTGTGGATGTTGTGCCCGTGATCACTTCGACTGAACAAAGCTTTTCTGTAGATTTTTGTAACTGTCAAAACTTTTGGTTACCTTACTGAGTAACCAAGTAGTTTTATTGCGTGATTTAGTATTTAGAGTGTTTGTTTTTCGTCTTTTTTCTTCTTATTATCATTTTTGACATTTGCCAGTTCCCAGCTGCTCTGTACAGGGGTAGTGCAAGTTACTGTGGTGATCTTTGTAAGGAGGTAAGATGGATAATGTGCTGGAAGTACTTTCTTTATAATTTTTTCGGGTATAAATATAATGTTTCCCTTAATAAAGTTGCTGTTATAATAAGGATAGTAATTTAAAAGTCTGTAGCCTCTAAATCGTATCATTTGGAGTCAGCTTGAGTTATCACGTATGATGGAAGTGTGTGTAATAGTTCGTTCCTATTATTGCCGGTTTAACTGTTCTTCGAACATGGAAAACTTCAGGGTAAAGTAGACAGGATTTCTTTTTCCAGTATTGCAATGGATAAATTTGATGATAAACTCGGGAAAAATAATAATGAATTATGAAATTCTGTAAAACTTATCTTCGTTTATTTATTCTGTACCGTAATTATTAATGCATATGGGGAAAGGTCATGCCCGTATCGAATGTTTTGAATACTAAATGAACTCAGTCTGTCTAATATTTTATGTCAGTAACATCGTGCGATTTTCCATTAAAAAAACACCGAGGTTTGCCGCTTTTATTTGATCCATTAGCTTCTGTCACTATAGAGGCGTCATAAAGTATATTTACATCCCGTACTTTCCTGTCTTATTTGATATATTTTATTATTTCTATTAACACTTAAAAGGCAATTATCTGTTTGAATGTTATGGTGAACTCCATTGTACGCAGTATTTGTCGCGATATCGACGGTAGAAGATTTCTCCTTCAATGTAAGGACCGGCATGGTTATAAAATCGGTGACTCCCCTGATGTCGCGTCACTTTTCTCGGTGGATGTGAATTGCTTCATAATTTGTCTCCTTGATGGTGTTGTAACATCAAAAAGAGAAAAATAACTTTGATCACTCTTTCCTCGTCAGTCTCGGTAACGTTTTTGAATCAGTTTTAGAATGGGTGGTATGGGTAAACGGCGTGCTCTATTGATATTTAGTGTATTAAGCTTTCGAAGCAACAGAAACATCCTAGGCTACTGAGTACTCCAACTACGCTTTCTTTCTTTTTGCTTCGCAGATTCTCAGCTGTTGCAACTCAAGATTGGGAAGTCTTCGAAACCAGGTGCGTCTTCAAAGAGACGACTTGTCACCTCTTAGGCTTTAAACTCAACACGACTGCGCAAAGAATTTTTATTTTGCTAATTGTTGAGATCTTTTCATGACATCTATTCACAAAAACCACAGACCTAGTGAGCTGGGCCCTGTTTCTGTATATCGCCTCCTTATCGGTATTATGTTATTGCCAACTAAACCGGTGTTTTGTGGTAAGTCGTAGCGCTTCGCAATTGTTATGTGTTGAAAATGGAAGGCGCCGAGACGTGATTGTGACTGTCCATTAAAATCACTCGTACAATAGGAATTTATCGACAGTCATTAGCGCTATATGAATTTTTGTTACACTCTTGATCGTGCCTAACCATTTTAAGAAAGGAAGGCGTGAAGACACTAAAAACTATTATGAGGTTTTCGCATGTCTGTCTCCGGCGCTCTGTTTCACAGGATCATGGAGATTTTTTGCACCTCAGTTTCAGCTCGTTTAGTTTAACCTTTCCCTGATTTGATAACGACCATTTAATTCTCCGCCCGGTAAAGAGCGACTTGGAGCTGTAGAAAATCCCGAAAGATTGCTTTAAATGGGCTTTTTCACGATTTGATAGTTTAAGAGTAAAATGGGCACTGAGTTGTCGCTATGTTTTACGATATAGATACTTAGTCTTCGTACAATTTTGATTATTATCGCGGCCGGCTCAGTTGCATACGTCGTTGTAAGCCCTTTTTGACCTATCTTCTACTCATACTAATTTTTGCTAGAATGCAATCGCTTTTAAAGACTGTGCTTGCCATTTTTTCTAACAGCCTCCCATCTGGCTGAAAATTATTTTAGTTAGAAGGCTTGATAAGAGTCTGTTAGAAAGATAGTGTAGCCATCTCAGGATCGTCTAATTTTTATCGCGGTCATGTTTATTATCTCCCCAGGCGTGCTCCTTTTTATATCTGCTGATGAGAAGTAATTTTGAGTTCTCGGGTGCACAAGGCTGTGATAGAGTTCACTGGCAAGTACGTAGCTTTTAACTGAAATATTTACTGTGATTCTCTTACGATTTATATTCATGTTTTAAACCCTCTCTTGGTTGCTTGCTTTTTTTGTCTCAATGAGAAATGGCTATTAAAAAGGTCATTTAAGTTCACTTTTAAAAACTGAAAGAAAATCTTTATTACACGAAAGTCGTTCTCTTTAGCATATGACTTTTTGCTATTTGCGCGTTGTCTGAGCCTAACATAATTATGGCTTTCATGGCAAATATTTGTAGTTTCAAAAATACAGCCTAGCTCAGTTTCAATTTTGAGTCCCTACGTAGAAGTGAAGATATGCATCTTAGTATAAAAATTATGTCGAAGGTTGAACAAAATAGTTATATACCATAGGATGTGTTAAAAATTATTTGTACTGGTGTACCTTTATTAATGAAAAATGCAAATAAGAAATTTAATAATCACATTGATTGCGAATCGTACTTTAAATGATGGTTCGACGGAATTGAAGTTGACACGCAATGGCTGCTCTGCTGTTGTCACTTTCCATCTCATTTTACGTTTCTCTCTACACGAAAAACCTGAAAATCAGTCTGCGTGAAGGAAAACCCGGCAAAAATTGCGAGAGAAAAAAAGCATCAGACTATTGATGGAAAATTTTGACCGTCGGATTTTGTTTTAACTTCACAGCAAGCCGCAGGTGTTGTGTTGTCTGTTTTTGCTGTTGTTGCCGTTGTTTTCAACGTGTACAAAGTAAATCTAATCTTCTCAACCCGCTTGCTCTCAAAGTATTGTAATTAACACTAACACCGAAAACGCTCCCATGCAAACAAGGGAGAGAAAAACGGCTTGGCGTAAAAAATGTTGAAGAACCTCTTGTGCTAATAATAAAACCACACCCTAGAGTCCTACAATATCATCGATGACCTTGTGCATTTATTTTGAAATATGGGTGACTTGCCATTCCGCGCATGTCAAGTTCATTCCCAAGACTTTGCTCGAGTCTACACATGCACAGTCAAATGACAGAAATGCAAAGCGACCCCCCTTACCTATAACCCTTCAAAGGTAAGGTTTCATTTTCAGTGTTCAAAGTTTGAATCTCTTTCAATCTTCTCGGTGTCGTAAGCCAAATACAATGAAGCATTTGCCGAGAAAACTCGTTATTTTGAGAAAATGAAGTCCGAAATAAAATCAACTTAGTATTTTATGCATTCCCCAATTAACTGTTCACCGCGATGGTTATGCGTATCGCAAGTTTCGACAGTTGTCTCAGATTAAAAAGACAAGTTGTCAGCACGATCACTGGATATATGATTATAGATCATTATCATTCATTTCTTAGTCCATTCATTCATAGAGGGCTCAGGTGTTCAACTCATTGAGGTGACATGTTTTTTTAAAGTTCTCCGCTGACCAAATATGGTATTCAAATGATCACCCGCTCAAAGAACTTAACGTCAGAAAGATTCCTTTAAAGTTCTCACGAGAGCTTCGCTTTTGGCCTTGGCTAAATCTATATATTTTGAATCATTCATCATTCATTCCTTAATCCATTCCAGGGCTGCAAATAACGGACAGCTGGTTGCCGGTCATGATGACCGGCCAAATATTTTTTAGCCCGGACAAACCCCGATTCTGGCCGGTCAAATAATGAATACTACTAATTTTTTTTTGCCTAAGGAATATCCAATTATGTTTGCAATAGATCGTTATTACTACATTGACGTTCACATTTTTGACAGCAAATTGGTGAAAAATGTATTCGCACGTTGTAGAGTTCCTTTCCGCGGTTTTCGCGCGTTTTATTGTTACGTTCTACCTTGAGTATCATTGCACGACGGTGTCTGGAGTCTCTAGAGGTAAAAAGTGAAGCGTATATATTATGTAAATGCTTTTCAAACTCCCAAGGTTCAGGAAACGGAATACACATACAGTTCAGAAAACTTTAGAAATTACGAAAACAAAAAACAAAAAAAGTGGGTTATTTTACAAAATCTGCACACGCTTGTTTTACGTTGATGTTCCGAAATGAACATCGGTGAAACTTGATCTTTTTCCTTGCCTGGCACGTGATCGAAAGTCACTTTCTCAGAGAAGAATCGTCGCTGATATTTTCGGCAAAGAAGTTGAGTTGCATTGGCGAGAAGTTTGTTCCACAAACAGCGTGTTGATGATCAGAAGTCAATAAATAAATTTGGGTCATCGCGCAACATTTTATCGCGAAGGGCTCAAATGTCAACAGAAATTTGCATAAAGTTGTTTACAAGAACGAGAATCTAGCGTCGCGATAGACGACGACCTTCCCTCTTGAGTAGCTTAAATTTTTATCAGACCATTCTGGAATCGAGTCTGCAAACAAGATTCATGTTCGACATAAAAGAAATTATTATTAATCGATGCGCTAACATTTATTCCCGGAGAAACACAGGACGACCTGTTGAGAATTGCGATCGATTTGCCTGAATTCCTTCGAATTCCCAAAGAAGGTCACATTGCTGATTACAGCAAAGCCGAAAGTACAGTACGACTTGCAACGTTGCGTTACTTTCCAACTCAGTTTGTTATTCACTTTGTTGCGTTAGATTACGACATGACGACATGAAATTAATTTATTGCGGCGTTCTTTTTCTTAGAAGGGTTTAGTGCAAAGCAGCAAAAAACGCCAAAGAAAAAAGAAATCATTGCAGCGTTATAGAGCATTAAGCGACAACTGTATGGAAAATAAAGTGTTTGTATCCAAAAATGACCGGTCAAAATGACCGGCAAGACCGGAGTTTGACCGGTCAAGTCCGCGATCAGGCCGGACATTGTCCGTTGACCGGCCGTTATTTGCAGCCCTGCATTCATTCATTCGATCTGTCTTTCGTTGGTTCGTGTGTTTGTACATTCATTCACTAATTTATCGCTACTTTAAAAGATTATTTTGATCCTATTTAAGGGAAATGTCCACAGTCAACGTGTTTTTCTGTGTTATTGTCCCTTTCAGGTCATCGTAGCGGTCTCCAAACTAATGGCGGAGGGCCTTAACCGTACCGCTGTTAACAACTCTCTGTTGGCGCTCAAGAATTACGCCGTAGAAGACAGAGGAATGAAGGTTAGCTTAATCTTAATGCTGGGGTGAGTTGTTGTTATTTTGTTTTAAACGATGGACCTCGCTCAACTTCCACGTTTACGCGTGACCTTTCATACATTGCCTCTATTCGTAAATTTTACGTGCGTTCGCGCGGAAAAATTACGGGACAGTGGAAATCCACCTTAAGATATTGGATAAAGTTTCGAACCCAGTCCTAATAGCTATGCGCTTGGTACCGCGGGCTTAGTTATGACCATCGGTTTATCAATAAACGTATGCGCTCGCATTTGAAAATACCAGTTTGACGAGAGAAAACAAGTTTGACTAGTCCAGAATTCCGGTTACAATGACTTGAAAGGCTTGACGTGATTCAGGCAGAACCTCCTTTTCTCCTCCTCGATTAAGAAGAAGACAAGAGGAGACTCGGCTTGTAGGGTGCATCATTTTATACTGTCTTGTCCTTTTGCTGTCTTCTCTTGTAGAACACGTCGTTTCCATCTGAAGTAAAAGACCTGACGAAGAAGATTCATACTGTCTTGCAAGCGACTGCTCAAATGAAGGTACGTGCCGTTGGTAGCATGTAGGGGTCACTATTTTCAGTTTCTTAGTCTCCCTTTTTAGAGTATTAATGCTTTACAGTGCGGAACCTCGAACCGGGACACGTGGAATTAGATTGTCCAATCACAACGTTTTCTGAAGACAAAAGATTCTCGTCTGATTATATGTCATTTTTTGCAAAAGGACCTGTAACATTCGTAGATTTGCGGGCTGTCTCCTGAGAGGTCAGCTAAACTCAAACGGTTTTAAAGTTTTCAACGGTTGCCTAGTTGAACTTTGAATTTTATTGTTCCATTTGTTTTCAGAAAACGTTGTCATTGGACAATCTTCCAATTGTCTCGGTTTGAGTGTCCGCACTATAATAACCTAGCATGTTTACAGTTCCCCCCCCCACCCTCCTCTCAGAAGGGGTGGCTGTACACAGGCTTTAATACCAATGAAATATTCCCTGCCACGGGTTGTTTGGAAGACGTTGATGGGGCGGTTACTGAAGGGTTTGGCGAGATAAAGGTCTACTTAACGTCAGCGACAAGTGAATGAATTGTCGCACCAGAAAGATTAACCGAATTGAAGTGGGTAAATATCATTCGAAAAAGAAGACAATAACTTTGAACAAGTTACAGGCGAAGAAATGAGTAAGAATATATCAACTATACTGGCGGTACTTGAGGGGGGGAGTTGGGAGGGGGGGGGAGGGCAATGGTATTAACGCAAGGTCTGCTGTTCATTCTCCCAAGCTTAATAATAATAATAATAATTTACATTTATATAGCGCAAACCTCTATATGAATATATTCGGTTGCGCTTTACAATATTGTTATATTAAATTTATGTTAAAGGTGACTAAAGCATGAGCAACTATTAAAAACTACAATAAAAAGTATTAAAAACTATAAATAAAAATAAATAAATAAATAATGATAATAATTTAAAAAAAAGAAAAAAACTATTATAAAAGCCAACAATTAAATCTATTTAAAAGCTAAATTGAAAAAATGAGTTTTAACAGCAGTCTTAAAAGTGTCCAATGTCTTCATGTTGCGAATTTCCGAAGGTAATGCATTCCAGAGATAAGGTGCAGCTGACTGGAATGCACGATCGCCAAGAGTTGGATGGGTCTTAATGCATGGTAACTCGAGGAATATAGACTCATTTGACCTTAGAGAGTACTTGGATTGCTTTTTGGTAGTAATGAAATCAATTAGATAATTAGGAGCTTGACCATATAAGCACTTAAATGTCAAAAGTAGAATCTTAAACTTTATACGGTAACTTATTGGAAGCCAATGAAGGTGGAAAAGCAATGGTGAAACATGGCAGAATCTAGGTGTTCCGGTGACCAACCGAGCCGCGGCATTCTGTATCCGTTGGAGTTTCATGATATGTGAATTCGGGAGGCCATGTAGTAGACTGTTACAATAATCTATTCTACTGGTGATAAAAGCATGAACTAATGATTCGGTGACTGAACGACTTAAATATTTCCTAATTCTACGCATGTTATAAAGATAATTGAAAGCGGATGAGCAAGTTTTGTTGATATGACTTAGCATACTACTTAGACTTAGCATACTACTTAGCATACTACTTAGACTTAGCATACTACTTAGCATACTACTTAGACTTAGCATACTCAAGCTTGCTCAACTATCACATTTTAGCAGGTCAGCCTACATCAGTTCTCTTGGCACGGAAATCTTTTCCTCGAAAGTATGTCATCTCTTTTCATTCATTTTCTCGAGAGTTACAAATTGATAACGGGAAGTGAAGTTTTTGTTTCGTGACAGAACAACGTTTAAAACAGATCTCTGCTGGACAAGTTATAGTCTGCTACACAGGAATTTTTAGTGTCGTTGCGTGACGACACTAAAAACGGCTGTGTTAAGCAGACTAGACAAGTTAGAGCAAGTGCTCTCAATGAGGAAAAAGGAAATGTAACGTAATCATCTCGATGCCTCGATTCGCCTCATCTCGATTTCCTGCCTGTTCATGGGAGCAAAAGTGGAACACTAGGCGGAATCATTTGGAATTGATCATTTGCTCAAGACCTTTTCGCAGACCAAAAAATCCATTGTATAGGCTTTTAGTTTACAAACACTTTCTTACGAGGATTTAACTCGAGAATCAATTTCAAAAAACGGCAGAACGTTGCGAGGGAAGAAAAATGTCGGAGTTCACGCGATTGAAAACTGTGCAATCCAGCAGCTAATGGTTCTGCATATAACTATTCCACATGCAATGCTGAATGAATCAAAGGATGGCGATGTTGTATTAGTACCTTATTTTCTTGATTTGTATTTCTCATACTTGGTATTAGGGACCTTAAGATCCGATTACAGCGACGGCAACGAGAACGTCATAAAACCAATAAGTCAGATCAGCAAAACAACAACTCTGAACGTGCATTACGCTTTTTTGTACATTTCCTTTTGCCGTCACTGCTCGCCTACAACGTGAAACTTCCTAGTTTCACGTTTCATGGAGGACGTAAACTCAAGGCAACAATTTTCTTTTTCTTTTTACTGAACTCAGATACAGTCCTTTAGAATCAACTTCAGAAAAATTTTCCAACATTTGATAAATTGAATGAAATGGGATAAGGAAGTTTGAAACAGCGCGATTCAAGTGTCGTTTTCGCTGCCGCTGCCGTCGCTTGAACCAATAAAACTGAAAGAAAAAACTAAAAGAAGCTCTCTATATCAGCGTCTATATCTACAGGGAATATCTTGTACTTAGAGAAGAAACTGGTCTGAAGCACTGATGTCCGCGATTGAAAATGCTCACGCAGGGTTGTCATTAAGGAGCGGGGGCTGTGGATTTCCCCTGGCTACTTTTACGGAAAAATAGAAGAGAAAAGAAACCCCCCCAAAAAAATCCCTAGCTGTTTTATACCCCGGCCACTTGCTGCATCTAACCGGTAACGTAAAATTTTAGTGACAGTCCTGCTGTCATTTACAATGATTTATTGTTGATCTCTTGGCTCCGTTAAACGTTGTCGTTTGTAGGAACATGATGATGTGCCAGAAGTTTTAGTGGACCTGCAATACAGTTTGGCCAAATCGTACTCAAGCACACCGGAATTGAGAGAAACCTGGTTAGAGCACATGGCCGCTGTACATGAGAGTCAGGGAAATTTTTCCGAGGTGAGTCTGCCGCCACATGAGTCAGTATAGTTCATACAACCACTGCTTTTTGTTTGGTTGGTTATGTTGTTTATTTACTTGTGTTGGTTTGTTTGTTTGTTTATTGTCTAAGGGCCTGTTTACATGGAGGTGGGGGAACCCGGTTAGGTGAGGTAACCAGCTTATATAGGTGAGGTAACCGCCCTGTCCATATAATCTCTCATTTTAATTTGATCACGCCGGAGCGGGTAGCCCGGTTTGCCGGACCGGGTAACCATCTCAGCCGGGGTCAAATTTTGCCATGTAAACGTTTCGAGGTGGGATAACCACCTAGCCAGGGTCGGAACCGTGATACATCAGATTCGCGCAAAATTCACTTTGGTGGTGGCCTTACATCATTATTAAAGGTAACAAAAGAAGCCACAGCACTGAAGGTTGCAGCAAGAGCAGCAAATGAGTGTAGAAGCGCCTTAATCGCCAAAAAACGTGGCTTGCCAGCATTTTTTGCTTACAGTGCTTAGGGACCATTCAATAATCTTGAGAAAGTAAACCCCGGGATGGCTTGGTTTTAAGATTGCATGTAAACGAGGGTTATTTTTTTACCCCACCTAAGCGGGTTAGCTCACCTACTTGGGGTCCCCCACCTCCATGTAAACAGGCTCTTAACTGAACTGTTCTCGTCGTACTGAGGAATTGATGTTTACTGATGAGTAACACCATGTAGACACGTGTAGCTTTTTAAAAGATAACAAATAGCGTGGCATAGCCCCTTTAAACATATTTTTCCTTCTCCTTCAGACGGCGCACTGCTATATCCATGCTGCAGCTCTTGTTGCTGAATATTTAAAACGACAAGGTAGGAATATCACATAAAGCAAAAATTACGTGCTCTTTTGCCAAATTTTTGCCGAGAAAACGCCTTTTCCGTTTCGGGCGACCTCGCCTCACTATGACGTCTACCATCAGGATAGAGGAATCTACTCATGGTAGTCGCCAATGCAAGCATCCAAACTAAGAGAAACGCCAAATCTTGTACCACAACATACTTTACCATACTGAATAAAGTTTTTTTGACAGCACTGCTAATTAAAAGAGGTTTGTGAAGCGAACAAAAGCAAAGGTGTCTGGTCATCAGACATGGTTGTTATAGCCAGAATTTAAAACAACGTTAACCTATTGCGAACAGAAAAGCACCAAAATATGTATGTTAATGCGACGCAACTTACTTTTTAGCGTTGTGATCTGTCAACCGAACATAGTTGTTTATTCCTTCTATGGCGTAAAAGTTAGAATCAACGTCGTCCTCGGAGTTGAGTAACTCTGGAAGCGATGCCTTCAGATTTGGCTCTACTTTACATCCCAAGAAAAGCTAGGAGTACCCAGTAACAAATCTACAACAGTTTTCCATCATTAAAATGATGTCGAAATGTTTAAAACTCAAGTGGAACCCAAGCCGCAGGCGAGTGGTTTCACTGCAAAGTTTCATTTCTTATGGTCGATAAGAGTAAAAACCATGGAAAGTTTTTCATGACATGTTTTGTCGTCCATTTTTGGCGAAGTTCCTTGGAAAATCGCACGCCAGAGAAATCGCTCAGTCATTATGAAATATTGTTTTGATTTTGTTTATGTATTGAATTTTGCCCTGAATTATATATACGCTCCACTTTAGCCGGTCGGTTAGTCATTAATCCGTGTTTTCGTGGGGTTATTTTAGGCGCTTATCCACCCGGTTGCGCGGCGTTTGCCGGCGTTTCACCAAATGTGGTCGCTGACGAAAGTGTTATGAAAACTGACGAGGGAATGAGAATGGAACAGCGCTATACTGTGGTTAGTTTTCTGCTTCAATCGACTATTTTATTTTGGTTATAGGTTAGCCTAACTTGAACCCGATTACTAAGTTTTGGCCGGGGACTGTAGAAGCGAGGGGATCCAACAATTTTTTATATGGGTTTAGTGTACATGACGAAACTTTTAGGTAATAAATGATTCCACCATTCCTTGGCGTAACGCATTTTTTTGGTAATGATTAAGTGGCTAGGGTCTTTTTTATGTCATGACAGAGGCAGCGTTCAGTCTTTATTGAAATGCAAATCGAAAAGGCAACCGCGTGGCCTTGGAGATATTTTTCTCTTGTGTTTAGTGATGAAAGTTCGGTGCTCCAGACCCTTCGCATCCTTCCGCTAGTTAAGCAATTAAAAGGGCGATTTATCGAGTGAAAAAGGAAGTCAACTAATGTTTGTTTTATTCTGTGTCTAGCGGCATCTAGTGGATCTGTTGGAGCAGAGTGCCAAGTTTCTTGAACGTGCAGAACGGTACGAGGTCATGGGTGAAGTGTACAAACTGGCAATTCCTATCTACGAACAAGAAAGGGACTTCCTGGTGAGTAGACACACAGGCAACAGCGCGAAGAGCTTTGTACGTTAAGCAAATTGTAATTAACTGTTTCAATGATGATATCCACGTGCCTGTTAACCCGCAATGTCCTCCACCGATAAGACGAACTTGTTTAATAGTTTTTATTATACAGACACGAGTGTTTTACTGGGAAATATACCACTCGTAAATTCATAAAAACTACATCCGGGATCCGAGTGGTTTATTTTCCATAATCTCACACGTGAGTTTATCGATGACGTAATTTCGGTAATTTCCCTCTATTATTTTATCAATATCTTTTGGTCTATATAACAAAAAGAACATTACACGGCGGCTTGAAGATATGAATTTTATTTTCTCGTGGCAAAAACAATATTTTACTCACTCCCAGGGCTCGTTCGTAAAATATTGTTTTGCCACTCGAAAATAAAATTCATATCTTCGCGCCACCGTGTAATATCCTCTATAAAACCCTTTCAGTTGGCGATAATTTCCTAGAAACGCTGTCGTAATGTTATCAGAGACCTTTGGAATCGAGTACGAGAACTACTACGAGTTTGAATGAAATTTTTTTCGCGTATGCTCAAAAAATAGAAAAATAAATACCCCGGAAAGCTTCGTTGTACTTTTGATTCCCCAGAAAAAATAGCACTGTTATCTTTATTGAAGGAGGTTAAACCCTCTCTCTCTCTCTCCACCACGGCATTCTCGCTGAAACCCGAAGTAGAATAACGGCGGTTACAACGTTTTCCCGCCAAAATGACGCTGGTTCACGCGGGAGTACTACTTAAGAATTGAGAAATCTCCTACTCGTAGTCGTTCTCGTCTTAGAATCTCAGTAAAGGTCCCTATTTTGATAGTGGTCACTAGCGAACTCTTCATTTCGGAAATCATAACACAATCTGTACACCTTTAACTTCCTCCCACCCTACCCCAAGCATTATTTGCTTGTTTACCACGGGCTACTGGGAAACGGCACAGCATTGTTTAAGGGGAGTGGGCTGGGGAAAGCTTGCATTTTCCCTTTTGAAGTGTCGGTAAACACGAGACTGGTAGTGGAGAACAGTGTTTCAACCAATTTTATGACCGATTTTAGCCCTATAGCATATCAAACCCGTCATTATCGCATTTGGCAGGTAAACTGCCTCATTTGAAAGCTCTCTAGCTAATGCCTGTGAACATATTCCACCCTCAGCGCCTCTCATTGGCGTACAACAGTCTGGCTAAAGCGTACCACAAGGTTGTTGATGTGATGGGAAGTGGTAAAAGACTTCTTGGCAAGTACTTCAGGGTTGCTTTCTTTGGACAGGTAAATAGTTTGTAGTCGTACCATTAACGAAATAATTATATTTTAAACCGACTTGAGTTTAAAAACATCAGGGTTCGCACGTACCTTGAAAGTCCATGAATTTTAATTTTTTTGAACTTTTTAACAGACCTTAAAAGTCCTTGAAAATTGCAGCCGGTGCTAGAAATTCCTTGAATTTCTGTGCGAACTTTATCCAGCCCAAAGGAAAAGGAGCAACCACAGAAATTCCTTCAGTATAAAATTGCTCATGAAGAATTGCTAAAGAAGACTGGAGCCTTTTTTTGCGTGCACTGAATGGAATCCTTGAAAAATGGGAAATGTGCCCTTGAAACAGAACCTATAAAGGTCTATTGTAATCCGTTTCAATCTTCTTGAAGTTTGCCCATCCGTTTCTCCTTTTGTACTTGTTGTGTTATTGACACCTTCTTTTCGTGTTTTGAGAAGCTATTTTTATGTTTCACTCAGTTTGGTGGCGGTTCCCACGATTTGACCTTTGATTAATTTCGTGACACAGTTTCTTAACTTAGAAGTTGATCTAACAGCTAGATGGTTCAGGTTTTGTAGACTTTGCTATGCAATAAGTTCGTGCGTTTTGCAAGCACAATGATATACGGTAGTATATATAGCATTTAACGTAACCCAGACTTGCCAAACTCCAAGAGGCAAAAAATGTGAGACTCTGAACCAAGAGTTGGAAAAAGTAAGGAGAAATGGGTAAGACGTCGTGAGAGGACCGAAATTTCCTAGTGGGGATTATAGGTATTTGGAAGTCACAAGCTGGAGCAGTAGACATCACGGTTTTACGATTTGGGTTGTGTAATTTCTCTGTTTTGTTGGCGGCCATCTTGAAACAAGAAAAACATTTAGAAGTCTGCGCATTTGGTGGTAGCGGCAAGTTGCTGTAGGCTAAAGGAATGTAATCAAATGCAGCCGCTAAGCTTTTTTCTTGGATTGAGCTGGTTATCTATTGATATCTAAATTGGAAACGAGCCCTACAGCTCCAAAATTTTTTTGGAGTTTGACTTTTCGAGAAAGCGTGAGAAATCAGTTGCCAACTCGTGAGAGCGTGAGATAGGTCGTGAAATCGTGAGACTCACGACAAATTAGTGAGACTTTGCAAGTCTGTTCACTTTTGACGCGGTGTATTTCTTTTACTTCCGAAGATGTTTAGCGACGATGATGGGAAAGAATTCATATACAAAGAACCAAAGATCACAGGCTTAGCAGAAATTTCCCAGAGACTTGAAAACATCTACGCCACTAAACACGGCAAAGAAAATGTCAAACTCATTTTGGAATCTTCAAAGGTTGTTAATCTTATTAATTAATTAACTTATTATTTAATGAATGAATTTCTTTGTTTATTCACTTTTTTTATCACGGGAGACAAATTACTCCTAAAGTATGGCGCAAAATTTGAGAGTTGATTTATAAGTTCACATGTCAGTGAAACTACAAAATTCCTATTGCAACATTCCGAATGTCTCAGTGCCGAAATGCTATCCAGCTACACGAAAGAGCACAATTTTTAACTACAAGAACTATTGTAACAGTTATTTTGTCCGCTAAAACTCTATAAATCGTACATGCTACTAACATTTGGACTTCATGTCCGCTTCCATCCTATTCAAATAAAACGGTTCTATGTTGGTGCAAACTGATTTTACAGTTTGTTTCTTTCAGGTACATGCCGAAACACTGGAGTCAAAGATTGGTTACATTCAGGTATTTGCATTTTGCAAATGACATTTGACGAAAATTGCGCAAAGCAGTGGAGTTCGACTGAGTGGATTTGACTAACCTCAGTTTACCGTGAATTTGTCGTAGATAACGTACGTGCAGCCTTATTTTGATGACGAAGAGCTGGAGGCCAGACCAACTTCATTTGAAAGAAATAACAATATTAGACGGTTTATATACGAGACACCATTTACTGTCAGCGGGAAAGCACATGGGAGCTTAACAGAGCAATGCAAGAGGAAAACCATCTTAACAAGTAAGTTCATATGTCATACGGTATTTTATTTGTGGGTCGTGTCGTAAATTCTTTTGATCAAGAATAAGGATACCAGAAACTTTCTTTTGTTGAATTGTTCCAGAATTACGCATTTATTTTAAGTTTAGTCCCCTTGTACATCTATTTCATACACGCTCCTCGTGGAATTTTACCAGCATTGTGATAATCGTTCATTGAGTAGAGCAGACATTGGCCTTTTATGCGTTCTTGTTGAGAACTGTTCGCGGTAGATTAAATTTAAAACGAAGTAGGCTGATCACCAGTGCGAGTCACTAATTTATTACTAATCACTTAAACATAATGTACTTAACGTGAAAGAAGATCATCGCAATTTCAGTTAGAAACAACATTTGCATATGCGAAAAGAAAGCCCGAAAAATTCATACTTGTACAGCATAATAAACAGTACCACAGGAAAGAACTGCCCAGTGGCTCTCATTTGAATGGTCACACTACAGGATTTCATGCACATACCCCAAAATTCGAACCCTTGACCTCTGCGATACTGCGGCGCAGCGTATCCCGTACGAGCCTTTTTTTTCTGGCTTTCTTTTCTCAACTGCAGAAGTTGCCTCTATAACTCATCTATCTTCTTTCATTATTCCTCTCCCTGCCGCTCCTATATATGATTTTCATATATTCATTTTTTTATAATAGGACAATTGCACGATGACGATATTTGACTACAACTACCAGAATTCATTTCGGTTTTCTTTGTTTTATTTGTAACTGAACAACAAATAGTTTTTATTTGTGTAATTGATATTCGACATCTTTGTTGTACTGAATATTTTTATTTGTGTAATTGATATTCTCTATCTGCTATTATAGCCTCTAATACGTTTCCATACTTGAAGAAGAGAATCCTTGTCGTTCAAGAGGAGCAGTACGAATTGACGCCAGTCGAGGTATTAATCTTCCTTGCTTTACCCCACGTATGCTGATCCAAACCGGTGCACAATAGACAGAAGAGTGCAAGCCGGGTCTGTTTCTATCTTTTTCGTCGCTACCGGTGCTGCGTTTCGCTGAATCCTTCTTTCTTTTCCTTTCTTTTTTTTTTTTTGTTTTTATGCCCGGCCATCGCCCTCCCCCCGGCTTGCTTGAACTGAATGACTCCGCTCTCATCTCCGTCCTTCGGTGGACTTCAATAAAGGTCGAAAAAACCTTGTGGAAAGAAAAAACAATTTCATACTTGAACGATGAGAATTTATACTTAGTCTGTTGTTTGATACTTCTTCAGGTCGCTTTCGACGAGATGCAAAATAAAGTTAAAGAACTGAACAATGTGATCGCCCAAAATCCCCCTGACATGAAGAAACTGCAGCTTGTTTTACAAGGCAGCGTCAGTGTCCAGGTATGAATCAGGCTGGTCGAGATAGCGAGAATGCCGGCGTGTATTAGTGGGTTAAATAAAAAGCCTGCGTTTGACAGGCTCAGTGAATGCAGCCTCCGTGTACAGGAGCATAACAGACATTTGAGCGGACTACAAAGTACTGCTCATACTTTTTCAGTCATTTGGCTGGTCACTCTATCGGATCAGTCGGTTTAATCCAGACTCAAAAGCTAGAGCCATCCTATCAAACCAGTGCTTTTTGAGCCCTGGTCACTTTTGCTATGGGATAAAAAGTCGGTTTAATCCAGACTCACCAAAGATTTTATAGGAACCGGGCTCCTTATTTCCTTAGAGAACAGCCTTGCAAACAGTGTCATAGAGCTTTTGTTTGAGTGGTCATACAGAATTACTCGTAACCGGCAGTCTTAAAACTAAGCTGGCACTAAATGGGCCCATGTTCCCCCCTCGGGATTTCTGGCGTTGCTCTCGCGAGAAAAAATTCTGTTTTTGGCCATGTGTAATAAATCTTTTATCAACCACGCATGTTCAGTCAAGATGGCTGCATATTGTCCTGTGTTTTATCGGTCCATATGTTCGCAAAAAACGTACTTTGTCAATATCCATCCATCTTGGCCTCACGCTTGGTGTATAACGCATATTTATCTGTCTTGATATCATTTCACAGGTAAACGCTGGACCGTTAGCGTACGCGCAGGCTTTCCTTGACAAGTCTGTGATGGCCTCTCATCCACATAAACACATCGAAAAGCTTCAGCAGGTTTACAGGTGTGTAATTAAAACGATGCTGATTTGTTACTTCCGTATAAAGTTGTACTTAACTACCAAGTCACTCCCAAATCACTAAGAATGAACAACATTGGAGAAGACAAGAAAGAGTAAGGCGCCAAGCGAGAACAAACAACCACTCAAGGTCTTCGTAATTCCCTTCCCCAGAGTACCCCTGGGAAGGAGGTTGAACCGAGAGCTACAACCAGTTGCAAAAGTACTTGAGACAGTGTACCGTATTTTAGCATGAATGGCCTGTCTATGATCTTGTGCTTGTGATCCCCCTCCACCCCTTATCAAAGTTGCTAGCAATACAAGACCATACTCAAAACTTGGAGGAACAACTTTGAGTGGGAGGGAGGAGGGAGGTCAGTATGATATCTCACAGACCTGTGACCAGGAGCGATTTGAGGCAAGAAAGTGTCTCAACATTTTTGCAACTGGTTGTAGCAACCATATATCAATACTCAATGTGTCCCCGTTCTGGGGAAGTGATGCCGGATCATCAGTTTGTAACATAATCCTAAGCACGAAGAGGAGGTAAACAATGCTCATTCAATAGTTCTGATGATCATGTAAAGTTAATTCTCTGACTCGACCACAACAGCAAATTTCCTGTGTCAATTTTTATTTGAAAAGGTTTTCCCTGGGGTAAATAACGCCTATGATACCTGCTGGGGTAGTCAATGAATACTTGAGTTATTGAATGTTTTGAGCTCTTCATAGAGAGCTACTCATTCACAAATTCCTTTTTGAAATTTCAGAGAATTCATTGCTTGTTGCGGAAAAGCTTTAGAAATCAATGATCAGTTAATAAAAGAGGATCAAAGGATTTACCAGGAAGAAATGAAGAAAAATTACACACAGCTCAAGGCACAGCTTGCCAAGTACATTGGCGATGAGGTGTGTTTTTTTTTAATATTATTTATCCTTAATTGAACAGTTATAACGAGGTGACGGTATTACCGAAGTGGCCGTAAGACGGGGTCTCACTGTATTAAGATTAAAAAACTCTAGTAAGCTCTTTTTTCGTAATTTGTTCCCAGGGGCTCACCATGGTAAACTCCTCGAGTAGCATGTCATCACTTTTGGTGTAAACCAAATCACAGCACGGAGTCACACGGAAAGTCTGTGTTCGTCAATTTTGTTACCGCAAACGATGACTGCGTCTTAAATGTGCCAAAAGGAAATGTTTCGGATTTGTTTTTGTTCAAAACTCCTCTTTCCCAACTACGAACAGTAACTGTTCTTCTCCACACAATCAAGACTTGATGTAGAAGTTAGGAGATCACAGACCTGCTTCCTGTTGATCTGTTCCTTCCCTGGAAAGTGGAATTTGAAGTAAGCACTTAAGTGTGTCCCAGAGAGAAATATGCCAGGTGTTGGACGTTGTGAGCTGGATGACTGAAAGGCCCTGCATAAGGACTCGATCATAGACAACAAACGCGAAGTCTTGTAAGTTATGGAACATAGTCCATAGCGGCGTACAATGGTGGGTCGTTGTCTTTAATGTATTACACAAGGAACTAGCGACGTGGATTTCAGCTAGTTTCTCAAGGGCTTAATCGCCACTACTAATTCCCTGCATGGAGGTTGGGATTTTTGAAGTTACGGTTAAACGTGCAAGGCATGGACTCTACGGTGGCTTAAAAGGGCGGCAAGGACAAGAAGATTGTTGCTCAAAGTTTCGTCTTTATATATTAATGACATTAAGGCCCAATGCGGCTTAGTCAGCCATCCCTACCTTTCACGCGAGCGTTCAGCAGTATACTTTGAGCGGTTTCCGTGAAGCTGTTTTAGTTGTCGCCTGTGACGGTGACGGTGATAAGGGTGACATTCTAATCAACACACCAAAGCCGCTCGAATCAAGTGCATCTTGCACATGTCAGAATTGCTTAAAATTTGTAGTCCCTTACGATTTTTTGAGAACGTGGCGCTTTATTGGAAGCCGTTCAAATGTACAGCGGCTAAGCAATGTTTAGCACAAGGTAAATAACTGACCTGATTTGCGAAAACCAGTGACAGAGTAAATTCAGCACAACCCACAGAACCCTTTCGTAGTTAAGCGGTTCTAAATAACTGTTCAGTGTTAACTACTGTAATAACACTAAAGCGAGTGTTGGTTAGCGTAAGCACGCAACATGATTATCAGAAAGCGCGGCTATGCTTGACAGTATTGGCGATTCGAAGAAAGACGCAAACCTGGCATAATCATTCCAAGCCAGCGAGGAAATAATTTAAGTGTGAAAGGAATATGTGTAATTTTACTCGTTTGTTTGTGTTCTGGCTTGATGCGAACGCGCAGATCAATAGTACACGACTGTAGTCAGGCCTAGTGTTCTATTACTGCTATACACTCCATGCTCTCTAGAAAGGACACCACTGCAAGGTACCTACATTATTAAATGTCGAGAGCAGTATGGACCCACTCTGAATGGCCGTTTTAGGGTGTAGCTGTCCGTCTTACTGTGGAGTCCGTTGCAATGGGACTAACTCCTTTCGTTGCCACTCGACAAGGTTCCTGACTTCTACTCTTTTTTTATTTTTATTTATTTTATTTTTCACCTTTTTCACGATTTCTTGACAACTGAAGATGGAGTTGTGCGTTTGAACTCTGGGCTCATTTTTACTTAACGGACCTGCACAACTCCAAGGCAACCATTGGGATTGGTCATACAATCTCACGAAATTTGCCAAAAAGTGGCTGTACGAGAGAGGTGACTGTAAAAAAGTAAGCATTTAGTATTGCTGGACAAATTGAAACGACGATAACTGTTTATCATTGTTCGCTGGTTTCAGAATGTGTTCGCTCGCTTTCATGCAGTGATCCGGAAACAGTATAGAGGTGGGGAGGGAGGTGGGGTGGGGGCTGGCTTCATTAACGCTATGGTACTTACTATAATGCGTTAGAAATATAAATTTGACATTTTAAACCTCTATGAGATGTAGTGTTCTTCACATATGCCAGTGAAAATTTAGGTCCATCAGTTAATTTTTGTAGATCGTAATTAGCTATAATTTTGTAATTAAAAAAACTTTTTTCACTTATTCAGTAGTTATTTTTTGAGCGATCACTTCAAGGAAATAAATATAGGAAAAGAAATATGAGTAACGGAAAAGAACGATATGAACAAATTTTTGTAGCAAGAAAGGTTTCATACAATGGTAAATAAAATTGTAAATTTTATCCACTGCCAGAAGTGACAAATTATTTCTGTACTGAACGAAATATGTACTGGAAAATGTTGTTTTAGCTCAGAAAAGTATTTCTACCATGAACCTAATGAATATTACTGTGGGTTCTAGCCTGCCTCCAACCCAGATGTTCACAGAGCTTCGTCACGCTTACCTCCCCCACCCTAAGGACATCTGCGTAGGAGGCTGTATGGGTCATGGCCCTCCGATGAACCTGTCCATTTAATACTTTTATCGTAGCATTTTTAAAACTGATAATTAAGACCTCGATCTTGAATGTGAACGCGGTAAACATAAAACAGCTTCTGGGTCCGGTAATTACCAGGACTTTCGGGAAACGGTCACCATCTTGACGGCGACTGACAGATAGACTGTTCACAGTCCTCTATTTTCCCGTAAGGTCATCGGGATCGTCACCCATCGTGAGTTATGGGCTGCGGCCATCTTGGTTTCAAATGAACCGAGTCACCAAGATGGCTGATAAACGCTCGATGCCTATAATCTTATGGAAAATAGGGGACTTTGAAAAGTCTAGCCGGCAGAGGACACTACCGAATGTGCGCTTAAAATAGCTATCGGAAAGAGCCAAAGGATATTGTGCTAGTAGTCTTATTCTCCAGCGGCCTATCTTTGCCGCCGCTTCTGATTGTCGTCCAAGCCAAGTTGAACGCCATGTTGGATTAAGGTGGCCCGAACCTATTTATTTGCGTATTGGTTTCTGATTACTCATGCCCGGTTCAGACGCCGAATTTTTCAAGAGCCGAACCTAATTCGAATTAAGGTCAACCCAAAGTATTTAGACCGGCTGAATTGATTCAGACGCCGATGTTAATTCCAGCCGAACTAGATTCAGAAGGAGAAAAATGCTCATTTCGGTCAAACTGCTCACAAAATACGTTACGAGAATTTATGCATTAGGTTCGGTATGTGAAAAGTCCGTTGTCTGAATCAAAGGCGTTCCAAAGTCGAAATTACCAGCCGGGCTAGGCGGAAAGAATGGCTGAGCCGTTCCAAATTGAAGCCGGCGTTCCTAATTGATTCAGACGCCGAACTTTTCAGGTCATTAATTCAATGTATTAGGCTCGGCTCGCGGAAAGTACACGTACGGCGTCTGAACCGGACCTTACTTTCTGGCAATAAAGCTTTGGGTAAGAATACCAGTTTTCAGATAGGAGATAGTCCGTCGGCACCCTTCAACGATCTGTGCATCAACTTTCACAAATGTGTTAGCGTAGCATTTTAAGGTTAAATTTGACAAGCATTTTGTGCAGCCAGTTGTATGGTCACGATTGACTTCAAACTTGCAGATATAAAACGTAAGAGCTCTGAAACGTATTTGCTGAAATTCGGGAAAAATCTGTCGTAGGATTTAGTTACTTGGTGCAAAAAAAAAGCATTTTCTGTAAAAATGTTTTTTTTAAATATATGCCGATAACTAAAATGTTTTTATACCTACAGGAAAATAAATAACATTTTCTAAAAGTTCCATTGTTTTTCATTGAGGATGTTAAGAATCATAGAAATCGGTTAAATCGTTCCTGCTGAAAAAGGCGATTCAAAAACAGTCATCAACCATATAAACAGGACTTCTTCGGGCCACCTTAAATCAGTGAAAATTCACATTTATGCCGATACCCAGAGACCCTAAAAGTTAGTTCGGGAGCTCTCATTGAAGTCACGCTATTGTTCCGCTACAGTACCACAGACAGAGAAGCTACTCGAGTTTTGGCATTATTTGGCCACATGTCTGAGTGGCAGTTTAATTGATTATAAAACAGACGCATTAGTTCACAACAATAATACTAAATAATCTATGTTATTTTCAGCAAAGGTGGGGCAAGAAATTCGCCCAATGAATTAACTAAGTGATAGACGCATAGAAGATCTCCCGACTCGTGGCAAGTGGGATGGGGGGGGAGGGAAAAAAAATTTTTTCCGCAGAGATGTAATCGCCGTGATGGTGAAAGTAAGAGGGTACGAACGCGGGAATGCATGCTCCTTTATACGAACACTCCCTCAGGGCGATAGAAATGACTGGCTCTTGAAAGAGAGGTTAGATTGATTTGAGTCGGAAGACCAACCATGTAGACCACAAAGGCATATTGTATCGACATAAATAACATTATGCTTTAACATAATGTTTGGTTTTATTGAAAATTAGGGATTAGGCTTTTTTATGCCTGAATTAGATATGAAAAATGTCAAAAGCTAACTAACAAGGACAAGTCGTCTTTATCATAGCAGCGGAGATTGGTTATGAAAGCCAGAAAACTTCAAAGAGATAACTAAAGCAAGGGCTGCATTTTAAGTTGGAGAACAGCTTCCTAACAGCCCAGAATTCTTTGCTTTTCGTTCACAAATTATGACTGAATAAATTAAAAGATAAATCATGATAAGAATGCTATTGAACGTTGTGCAAACTAACAAAAATATATAGCAAAGAGATCTGACAGAATTCATAACCATTCCGCTTTATACAATATGTCCTTATCTAACTCAAACAGATAGATGAAGGATTTAATTACAAGGGTGCCAAGGGTGATGAAACTTCGCACGTACAGGCAAATGAGTAGCTAAACAGTATGGCTTTTGCTTTCTTTCAATTCATCAAAGGTGCCATACTTGCCCTTTTATTCACTCTTTTCCTGAAAATGTTTTGTATATTAACAATAGAGTGTCTTTGAGTAGGCATATTGTTTCCCCGTATGGAAGGTTTCCCCAGTATACAACAAATAAACTTGTCTAATTTTAATTAAGACTGAGGATTGTCATTGGATTAATCTGGTGACCTTCGTCAGAAGAGCAGGTTAATTTTTTAAGAAGGAGAAACTTAAGAAAGATTAAACGAGAAGATGAAACGATTTGGGACACTCCAGCAGTGGTGGATCCAGGGCAGGGCCCCCCACCCTTATGTTTAGACCAAACTGAGGCCCGAAGGGCGGAAAAAAATTTTTTTTGAGACCGGTTACCCCCCCTTATCTCAGGGACTGGATGACCGCCCCCCCCTCCCTTATCTGAAGGTCTGGATTGGCCAATGCTCTAGTCACAAACATAGCGCAATTCAAGTCCTACTGATGCCAAGGTAGCAAAAAAAAAGGGGAAAGGTTTGTACATCTCTAATACTTAACTTTTTTATTACAATGAATAAACGGTAAAGAGAGAACTAAACATGCGTTTCAACTGGACTTCGCCGGCGTTGGTTGATTTTGTTGTACTTTTGTTTCCTGTGGTACTAAGTATGTATAATTTGTATGCAACACAATTAAACTCATTCTAATTATTAAAGGACCAAGGCTTCAGACAAATTGCTTTCTCTGAATTCATACTGAGATAATATTTATTTTAAAACGTTTGGTCAAGCCCTTAAGTTAGCAGCTGTTCCTAATTGATTTTATTAGTTCTCAACACATCTCGGCTAACTCAAAGTCCTCTCCGTTTGATACAAGCCGTACGGTTGGGTTTCCCCGGCGCTAACGTACCTATTCGAACTAATCTTCCCGCCCAAATAAGTCACAGAAGGTGTTTAACAGAGTCGTGACTTAAGCAAAGATCTTTATACAAACAAACTGAGAATACAACTTTACAAAAAGACTCGATCATGCCTCAGAGGCCTGACGAAGACGAACTTGCTTTGTGGCAACAACTTCAATCAAGACATGTCGCCATCGTGGTTTTTGAGTCCTTCCTATTCATTTTTGTCATGGTGTTATCTCTGTTTGGAAATCTGTTGGTCTGTTACGCTGTATACCGAAATCCTCGACTACGATATCCCAGCAACTATTACATCATTTCCTTGGCTATGACCGACATCTTGCAAGCGCTCTGCACGATGCCACTTTCCGTTGTTTTTCTGTCAACCGGTCAATGGCCATTCGGAAAAGAATTATGTTACTCCTCCGCCATCACCAAATTTGTCCTGACCAAAGCATCCATATACACTGTTAGTGACATTTCAAGTTGTGTTACATCATGTACGGCTTGACAATTATTACGTGTTTCGGTCATGTGACGTTGTTGTTGAACTCGGACTTTAGAACGGAATTTGACTCGAGACTTGTCGAGATTTTTATGCGAGATTTGTCGAGATAGTTTTGTGTTTTTGTTTGTGAAGATTTACAGTCTTGGAATAGAAGTAACATTTTGGTCCTTCGGAAACCGGATATTCGCATTGGTGTAATAATTGGACTCATCGGAACCAGTATTGTGGAATTTGCAAGGGACTCGTTCGAACTTGGAAACATTTGGCGGGAAGTCCATCGAGAACTGAAGCTGGAGGAATTATGGATGGAAAAATAGAAGAGTTAAAGAAAGAAAAAAGAACCCTCAAGACAAGTATTACGAAGCTTCTGAACGAATTAGCTGCGGAATTATCGACGAAAACGCCAAACAAGGAAAATGTCACGGCAAAACTGCAGGACATCGACAAGCGACGGGATGAATTGTTGGAGCTGTTGGACTCGCTTCAAACCTTGTACGGAGATAATAAGCATGCATCGCTGGCAGCTTCAACAGGTGATGAAGCGGATAAAATGATAGATCGTGTGGATAACGAGACACAGGAAGCTCGGCTTTTCTTATCGCAAAGTAACAGCAAGGAAAGCGAAGGAAATAACACAAGCCAGCTGGGCACATTTGAGAGCGCACATGGCAAAGATGGTCACGTGGTCGACGCAAACAAACAGCTCGAGCGGATTCGAATCCCAAAGTTTTCGGGCGACAAGAAAGAATATCAGTCGTGGTGGGCAGCGTTTTCCAGTTGTGTGGATGAAACAAATTTGTCGGCTCAGTTTAAAATGTTGCGGCTCGAAAGTTGTTTAGTAGGAGAGGCGGCCGAAACGGTGAAAGGGCTTGGTTACTCGGATCATGCCTATGAAGCAGCTAAGGCAAGGTTGAATCGAAAGTATGGGGGAAACAGGCGACAGGTTCAAGCCCATATCGATGAGCTACGTAAGATGAGGCCAATAAACGCTGATAATCCGAGAGAGCTAGAAAGATTTGCCGACATTGTGGAGAGGACTGTGGTTTCTTTAAAGGAAAATAAGAAGTTTGCTGACCTGGAAGGAGGAACATTGTACGCAATTGTGCTGGAAAAACTTCCTCAAGCTCTACTTAGCCAGTACTATCGATGGATTAAAGAAAAGGGAAGCTTGGAGTCTCTTGAAGAGCTGCGTCGCTGGGTTGCTGAGGAAGCTGAGTACCAGGTACAAGCATCAGAAATTAAGCATGGTTTGTCCAGTGTTGGAAGTGTACGAGGAAAGAGCTCAACTAAGTCTTATTTCGGGACCACAGAAGAGAAACGTGATCGTCCCTGTAAAGTGTGCAACCAAAAACACCCAATTTGGAAATGTGATATGTTCAAAGGAATGGAACATAGAAAGAAGTGGGAGACGGCGAAGAAGCTTGGACTGTGTTACCGTTGCTTGGGGAAAGGGCACCTTGGTGACTCGTGTACTTGGAACAGAGAGTGTGGAATTGACGGATGCAAGGACAGACACCATCGGTTACTTCACGAGGAGAAAGTAGCTTCTGGGACCATGGAGGGGAAGGCTGACACACGCGTGACAGAGGAAAACAAGTCCAGTACGTATGAAACAGTGATAGAACATGCACAGAGGAGTATTGCCTTGCGTACTGTTCCTGTCATTCTGAAACATGGGGAGAGACGCTTGCAAGTTAATTGTTTCTTGGACGAAGGCAGTGATACGTCGTATGTTAATGAGGATGTGGTAGAGGAACTGGGGTTGTATGGTAGGAAGGAAAAAGTAATTATCAATGTTGCAAATGGACAGAAGGTCAATTTAATGTCAGCAACCATGGAGATTGGCTTGGAGAGTCTGGATGGTCGGGTGGACACAGTCATTGTAGCGAAAACATCTAATAACATCTGTGGTGGGATGAAACCCACCAACTGGCTGCAAATCAAAGACCAGTGGAAACATTTGAGAGACATTCCTTTTCCTAAGCTTGGAAAAAGGAGTAAAATTGACGTGCTTATTGGTTCAGATTATTACAACCTGCTGTTTCCTATGAAAGAGGTTCGTGGAGGCGACAATGAACCTAGTGCCAGACTGTGTCCATTAGGGTGGACAGCAATTGGTACCATTGGTACATCTGAGGGACTTGGAACAAGTAACACTGGCTACCTGAACACCTATCGCATAAGCCAGTCAGAGTGTAGTGATGGAGATCTGAATTATCTGCTGAAACAATTTTGGAGCCTTGAGGCTATTGGGATCACACCGCAGGTGGAGCAACCACTTTCCCCTGAAGAGAAACTAGCCTTTGATAAAGTGAACGAATCAATCAGGTTTGATGGTGAAAGATATGAAGTTGCGGTGCCTTGGAAACATGAAAGACCAGAATTACCGCCAAACCGACAGATGGCAGAGAAACGCCTTCACACAGTTGAGAAGAAGTTAATGCAAGATGAGAAGCTGGCACAGGCTTACCAATCAGTGGTTGATGACTACTTAAGTAAAGGATATATCCGAGAAGTCCCAGAGGATGAGCCAAAACCACCATCAGAATGGTTTCTTCCACATTTCCCTGTGGTAAGGCCAGAGAAGGCCACAACCAAAGTTCGGGTTGTTTTCGATGGCTCAGCTCAGCAAAATGGAAAGAGTTTGAACAGTGAATCGCTACCGGGTCCTAAGTTGCAAAGTGACATTGTGAACGTTTTAGTTAAGTTTAGAAAAGAGCCAGTTGCATTGGCTGGTGATGTGAGCCAAATGTATCACCAGATACTTCTTAGACCAGAAGACAGGGCTCTGCACAGATTCTTATACAGGAACTTGGACAGTGGGGGTACACCGAAGGTTTATGAGTTTAAGAGGTTTATTTTTGGGGGGTGTTACTGCCCATTTTGTGTCCAGTTTGCTTGGCAACATCATGCCAGACTTCACAAGGAGACTTACCCATTGGGAGCTAATGCAGTTCTAGAACACTGTTACATGGATGATCTGATGCCATCTGCACCTACAGTGGATGATGCGAAGGACATAAGAAAGCAGCTAACCGAACTAGGGGACTTGGCTGGTTTTCACATCCGCAAATGGATCTCTAATGAACCGGATGTAATTGCTGACATTGAGGAAGAAGATCTTGCTTCTGAGATAGACTTGGAGAAGAGAGAATTGCCAACAACCAAGACCCTGGGTGTCCTGTGGGCCGCCACAGACGACAAATTTTCCTTTAGACACTCATTACAGTTGGATGGATTTGAATTCACCAAGAGGAATGTTTTGAGGCGAACAGCATCAGTTTACGACCCATTAGGCTTCTTATCACCTTATGTAATCAGGTCCAAGTTGTTGATACAAAAGGCTTGGTTGGAGGCACGGGATTGGGATGAACTGTTGCCAACACATCATCAGCGAGAATGGACAAAGTGGTTTCGAGAATTGAAAGACCTTGAACTTGTAAAAATCCCAAGGTGTTTGAAAGACCCAAGTCCTAAGGTGGAAGAACTGAGCATTCATACATTCAGTGACGCCTCAGAGAACGCATACACAGCTGTAGTTTACGCGCGTCATGTGTATGAGGGTGGCAACATTACTGCTCGAATGATTATGTCGAAGTCTAGGCTTGCACCATTGAAAGCAGTGAGCATCCCCAGATTAGAGCTTTTGGGTGCTCTAGTCGGATTACGATTAACAAGACAAGTTTGCTCTGCACTCAAGATACCTACAAATGGAGTGACATACTGGGTGGACAGTATGAATGTGGGGTACTGGATCCAAGGTCAAAGTAGAGAGTATAAGCCGTTCACAGCCCATCGTGTTGGAGAAATTCATGAGTTCTCTGCTCCTAATCAGTGGTGCTATGTTCCTACAGATATAAACCTGACCATGGAACAAGAGGCCTGACAGTAAAAGAGTTAGCAAGTGCAGATTAATGGTGGAATGGGCCCGAATTTCTGAAAAGTCAAGACAAGACTGGCCAGAGTGCAAGTTTGACAAGCCAACGTCAACAGAGAACCTTGAACTTAAAGGAACAAAAGAATCAGGAACAAAGGATGCTACCAGTTACCAAATAATTGGAGAAGGTGAAGAAACGGCTAGTGTCAAAGAGGTGTGGCGATTGGACCCCTCAAGATACTCGAAATGGTATCGAGTCAAAACAAAAGGAGAACTGGAAATTGGGTTGTCTTTAGTTCGTGTGACAGCGTGGGTGCGCCGATTTACAGACAATTGTAGGAAACCAGCTGAGCAAAGAGAGAAGGGTGAACTGAAGCCATTGGAGCTTCAAAACGCTGAGGAATTTATCATTCGGGAGGTTCAGTCTAAGGTGTACTCAGCGGAGATAGAGCCATTGAGAAGGAATAAGGAAATCCTAAGAGGAAGTACATTGGCACCGTTTAATCCAGTATTAGTTGATGGCATTTTGAGGTCCAACACCAGACTACGGCATGCGGACGATCTCCCATATGATGTTAAGTGTCCAATCATACTGCCTAAGAGGAATCATGTCACAGGACTGATCGTTAAGTACTACCATGAATCAGAGGGTCATCAAATGGGGCTTAACTATACGATTAATCATGTACGGGAGAAATACTTAGTGGTCCATGTTCGTGAACAAGTGAAACGAGTCATGAGAGAATGTTTTGAGTGTGCGAGACGATTTCGATCAAGGCCAGCTCACCAGCAAATGGCGCCGTTACCGAAGATTAGATTGCAGCAATCCTCCAGACCTTTCGAGAGCTGTGCAGTAGACTTTGGAGGACCTTTCTTAACTAAGCAAGGCCGTGGAAGAGTGCGAGCTAAGCGCTATTTGTGTTTGTTTCTCTGTTTGAACACCCATTGTTGCCACTTAGAGATGGCGTCGTCTTTGGACACTGATGCATTTCTTAACGCCTTTGTCAGAATGACTGCGCGGAGGGATGGCCGCAGCAAATGTTAAGTGACAATGGAACGAACTTTGTCAGCGCATCGAAGGAACTGCGAGACCTAGTCTCTGCTATAGACCAAGACAAACTACAACGGATGACCTCCAATAAAGGAGTGAGTTGGAAATGGAATCCACCTGCAGCGCCACATTTTGGTGGAGTCTTTGAATCTATGATCAAGGCAGCAAAGCGAGCTATTTTTGCTGTACTCGGTGATGCAGAAGTTAATGATGAGGAGTTGGAGACAATCTTCATTGGCGTAGAAAGTCTGATGAATTCGAGACCTTTAACAGCTGTGAGTGACGACCCTAACGACGACCGCGTCTTGACTCCAAATCACTTTCTGATCGGGCAGATAGGTGGTGATTTTGTACCAGAGAGCGTCGACACCGAGCCATTTAATCCCAGAAAACGCTGGAGAAGACTACAAGAGCTCACAAGACATGTGTGGAACCGATGGATGAAAGAATACTTGCCGCAGATTGGATCAAGACAGAAGTGGTACTTTCGTAACGACAATTTGCGGGTTGGAGACGTTGTCGTTGTTATCGATCCCGGAACAGTGAGGAGACAGTGGAATGTTGGGCGTATCGAGCAGACGTACCCTGGCCCTGATGGCCTTGTGCGAGTGGTGGACGTACGGGTTAATGGCAAGACCCTTAAGCGACCAATAACTAGAATCTCCCCGCTGGAGATTCGGGACACCGAACTGTAATCAGATTAATGTGTAACAAGAACACTTCGGAGAACTATGATCTAGAGCTAAAGATGTATTTCAGTTAGAATGTATTCGAATTTCAGCTTCCCTGTAATTCGGGAGGGGAAGAAATGTTAGTGACATTTCAAGTTGTGTTACATCATGTACGGCTTGACAATTATTACGTGTTTCGGTCATGTGACGTTGTTGTTGAACTCGGACTTTAGAACGGAATTTGACTCGAGACTTGTCGAGATTTTTATGCGAGATTTGGCGAGATAGTTTTGTGTTTTTGTTTGTGAAGATTTACAGTCTTGGAATAGAAGTAACATACACTATGGCTCTTATGGCACTGAACAGATATTATAAAATAGTGAAGCCTAGTAAGTACCAAGCCTTATTCAAGAAAAAGTTCATCGTTGTCACTGCAGTGTTAGCTTATGCTATACCAATTTTTGTAGCGCTTGTCTTTGCCTTTGCTCTCAATCAAGCCAGCAAACCGAGCCCCGGTTACGCCCTATGTAAAACACAAATTGGTGACCCTCGGTTTTTGGTAATTATAACTATTTTACTCTTTTCGCCGTATATTATTATCGGTTTTTGTTACTGGAAAATTCACAAGACAATCAAAATGCACAACGCCAGCATGTCTTGGAAGACGTCAAACATCCAAGACATAAAAATAAGCAAGACTCTGGGTGTTACCGTGATTGCTTTTGTTTGCCTTTGGCTACCGGTCCATGTTACATTTACTGTTTCAATATTGGCGGGTTTTTCTGAGCTACCTCGTTTGGTAACACTGCTTTGCACTCTCCTGATCTTCTTGGTCAGTTGCGTCAATCCATTTATTTATGGGTTCATGAATCGCTCTTTCAAGGCTGAGTTCAAGAAATTTTTGTTTCTGAGACCAAAATCCTCAGTACAGCCGACTCCCGTCATTGCGGACACCCCCGGGGGAAATATATAGTGTCCGTAATAGCGAGAGTCCGTAATAGCGGGGTACGAGAGAAAAAAAAAACTGTTTCTCTTAAACCTATGAAATAATATATAAAAGTTCCGGAGGCATTGTAGTTTCGACAATTCTTTACTTCTTTTAACGATGGACCATAGAAGATTAATGATAAGAAGATTGAAAATAGATCTAAATAGGTATGCTGTATTATCACTTCCAAGCTCCTGATGACAAGGAATGCTTAAGAAAGGCGTTTAAAAACCAAACGGAAACTTCTTTGGTAACGTGAATGACTAAAATGTTAACTTGCTGTCAAATATGTTTTTTAGTGTTCTTGGCAGCTCTTTTACCGCAGAAGTGCTGCCCAGTATACTCATAACAGAAACCTGTCAAACGACTTTTGACTCACGGTACAGAGTTAAAATAGCGCAAAATGTTTTTAAGCTCTAATGGCAATGTCTTTTTCCCCTAAAATGCTCTAGAGCAGTCATTTGTTTACTCTTTTACAAAGAAGCGGTGGATAGTACTTTGTGTCATTTTTTCCATTATTGTAACGTCGCTTTATTCTTTATGTTATGTGGGTCAGGATTTTTGACGAAGTACTCAAGTGTCCGCTATAGCGATAGAGAAAAACAAGTGAAATGTCGCGCTTGGGGGCAGGAAAGTGTCCACATTTCCGTAATAGCGGGAGTTTGTTTGTCATTTCTTTATGCTTTTCGCCGCGGAGCTGGCTCTTGTCCTCATTAGCCGGATTCGGATCTCACGGTACAGCCATGAAAAAAATAAAAAAGTAATGCATAACCAGTAAATATAATAGTTGTGGCTATACTAGCCATTTTATTCGTGGAAAAATGGCTCTTAGTAGCGCACAGGGAAGAACATTTTTTCTATTTGTATTTAACTGGATCTGCTCAGAGGGAATCTGTCTATGAGAAACTTCCATGGATAGGAACAGAGCCAAAAAACTGATTGTCATTGGCAGTCACAGATTTAGTTTCGAAGTCATAATTGTCGTGAATTGTAGAAAAGACTAGAGCCAAAAATCGTGTGTTATGTGCTTAAATATTAATGTAAGTGCCAAATCTTAATCAGAACTGTAATAATTATACTACAAAATATTCATATGGCCCACATACACCTATGGTTTAAGGCGCTTAGTTCGACAAAATCCATTAATTGATATGGGAGGAATTTCACCGCTAGAAGATTTCATATTTCTTATGATGTTTAATAGGAACTTTCTGATTAGAAAAGCTCTCAAGACTAACGGCCCACTTGATTGACGATTCAGTTATCTGAAGCAATTCATTAGTCCTATACTACCCAGGGAGACATAGATTAGGTAGATTTCCAATATTTAATATTTTTAATTACCAAAAGGATCGAGGAATACGTCACGTTGCGTTTCAATGTTTTAGTTAGAGGTTAGAATTGAATAAACAAATTAATGTATACTTTTGTTTGGCTTTTGTTTCATGATAGTGTTTACAATGCAGTACATAATTTCATTTTCTGTCGGCAAAAGGCCTCAGGGAAATTAACTCCATCAGATTGATGTTGATTCTCAATATTTAATGATGTCGTTTGTCTAGCCCTAAAATGAGAAGCCGTTGTAAAAAAAACAATGCACTCAAATACAAAGATAAAAACGCGCTTTATTGGAGTCTCAAGATGGATTTAGCGCGGAAGTACTAATCGAGAACACTGTTTTTTAAGTCTAATCGTGAAGACGGAAAGCCATCTCTAGGTCTGGGTCTAGCCAAAGTGTGGTCTAGCTGTTTGCAGGGCAATAGATGTATGTACCTTCATTTCTCAGTTATGGTTCAGTAATACCCTGAGTGAGTATTGGTCCAGGCCTAGGGATCGCCGGATTAACCCGCGACCTTCCGCTCTACCCGGACTGAGCAAGTCCTGCCGCGGTCTAAATAATATATGCACTCTAAACGACACCCTATGCGATAAGAGCAATAAATTTGTTCTGATTGTCCTCTTTACAGCCAAACCGGGAAAACCGTGAACACTTTTATTATTTCAGGACCAAGCACATGCAGCATTAAAACCAGGACACGCGAACTAGCCACAACTGAACGTTACCACAAACGCTACTGTTTTATTATGTTATTCTAAATAAGTATAATGACCATGGGGCATTTCCAAATTAACTTAAAGGAACAGTATCCAGATACTGCGCATGCACCAAACTTTGATTTTTGGACAGGATGTCGCGAAATCAAAAGATGCGAGGAGAGTAAGAGAACCTTGAAAAATCCGTTTGCATCGCGCTTGGTCTGGTTCAATACGACAATTAAACTTCTCAGGATTACAGATCAGTGATATATTGTTCCGGTTAAGTTTCGATTTGGGCAAAATCTGGATTTTATGGCGTTACTTTTATTGCCGTTGGCCGGAGGACCAAAAGATTGGAAGCACTTTGATGCCGATTGAAGGCTTATTTCTTCTGCTAGCTTCCATACAAGCTCAGATAATTGTGAAAGGAATACGCAGAAATGAAACAGCAACAATAGAGACTGTAAGAAAGAAACCATTGATACATGGATGTGACTGAGGAGATCTTGTGGAGGGGAGCTTCGCGAAGCAGAATGTTTTGCAACGACGCGTTAGTAAACTTTTAAATGAATCTCCCTACGGCCGACAAAATCAAACAAACAGGCGCTACATGTTTAGAAAAACTAGTGCCCTGAAATCATAATATAATTTTTACTAACCTTTGTGATGATTCATAGCGTTGAGATGGCTAGAACGCGAGCAAATCAGGCAGATATTACTGGACTTGGCACAATTGACCTCTGACACGAGTTTCAAATTTGAAAATATATTTTTAAAGCGAGCGAAACGAGATTTTCGGGTTGCGAGGCGGCCTAGCTAGCGATAAAATCGCGATGAGTCTTCTAACCGCCAGCCAAATATTTATATAAGACGAAAGACTTCTTCGATCGCAAAAGTCTAAAATATTACTTGAGAATATAAACGACAAAACCCCGTCGGCGGTGCGGTCCGGAAGGAAATCTTGTCGAGTCAATATGACAGTTCTATTGTCTTTTGAAGAAAAAACAGATGACGCTCGCGCGTGCGCATAATCGGGACACTGTCGCTTTAACCTCTAAAACATAGAAATAAAATCTGCTGGGTTCGAATCTATGTAATGAAACTGATGATAGCAAAACTTGGTGTAAACAATTGTGATAAATTTAAATATCATTTTTGTAAATTTTGTAACTAACAATTGCATGACTGACTGACTAGATTAGGTAATGCTGCCTGGGGTCATCAGTCTCTTGTCGTCATATTTGCAAATATTACTCTTTAGACTCGAATAAATTTGAAGTTAAAGTTGACGTTTGAAGTTAGGTGAAAATTGAAGACACAAGTCAGGAAAATCTAAAATGTTTCATTGACAATGATTTTCCACTAACGTGAGACCCATGTTATGCGCACAGGATTCTGGGATCGCCAGGGGGCAAACATTGCGAGTCGCTGCAAAGAAATGTATGGCTTAATGTAGTTTCTTCGTCACAAGCAGTGTCTTTGGACGTAGAATAACGCATTTTCGTCGTGATTTTGTGAGAAGCGGAGGTGTCTAATGTTAGTGCGTTGAAATTTCAAGTTTCTGTGTGATTATGAATGCGATAAATTCCATCGATAACTGACACTCAAGTCGCGTGAGGTTGAGTGTGAAATTTAGGTTAACCGAATTTACATAGTGATCTCTACGCGAGAAATGGTCTCGAAATATATCGTGCAAATTTAGGTTTTAATTTTGGGGGATAAGCTCATTTAAGCTTTTTATTTTTAATTACGTGTGATGATATTTACAACGAGTGTAACTACGCTAGGCCGCGATCAGCGCTGTGCGGCGCTGTGTGGCGCTGTGCGGATTAGACAAGACAACAATCGAAGGTATGTACGTGGCCAAAAAAAAAAAAAGAATCCTCCTTTAGTTTGGTATAAGCAAAGTAACATCTACGAAATATTTCATGGAAAGTACATGATATTTATGCATGAGTAGATGAGGCAGAAATCGTACGAGAGAGTGCCGCAAAACGAGTAAGATTTCCGACACAAAAAACTGACAAAAGCAGTGAGTGTGTCAATAAATACCATGCGCGACATTCGGAGAGTCTATATCCTCCCGCAAAAAGATTGGAAAAGGCATTAGAATTCACTGGTGCTATGGATCATGACAAAACATCTTGCTTGTGTATTTTTGGCGAGAAGAAATCAATGTACCAACGTGGGCAAGCTGTTTTGTTTTTTAAGTTACTCACCAATACATATACCTTCTATCGTTGTAACAAACTGGAACAGCGTTGTGCTCGCCGCCAAGCCGAGCGTAGTTACGCTCGTTGTAAATATCAGCACATGTAGCTACAACTAGAAAGGCTTAAATGAGTCATTCCCCGCTCATTAATTAACAATTAATAAATGAGGCTGAGTATCTTATGAAGAATTATGGAGATCGAGGAGGGTGTTACGGCCTCGACGGATAACACCCTCCGAGATCTCTATAATTCTTCATATGATACGAAAGCCGAATTCAATAATTGTTTTATTATTCATTCAAAATAATTCCTAGTTTAAAAACATGGCTAAAACATGCTTACCTCCATCGATCCATCGATGTTAAGTTCATCTTCAATAGTGCACGTTTATGGTTGTACAGCTCCGCAAATATTTTCCAAATAGCAGATGTCGCCCTTCGAGTTGTCTTCTTGCTGTTCTTGCCATGTTTTTAGGTATTTTTTCTTACTCTTGAAACGAGTGAAATGTCCGCCATTTTTCCATTTCACAACCAAAACAACTCAACCTCGTCCCCTGAGGTCTTCTCGGTTAACGGTGCCTTAATTGGCGAAAACGCTGCATTTTGACGTCATTTCCTCGTTAAACACAAAATTCTTCCAAATTTGGTCATCGTTAACTGGTTGCTGCGGAGCGACCGAAGGGAGCGAGCAGCAACATAATCA